TTCTGCAGAAATCAACAAAACAATAGCTCTTACCCCAGTGATCCCACAATCACTGTCTACAAAGAAAAAAACACAAATCCAGACACAAAGCCAACTCCATCTCTGGTGTATTCTTTTAAAATGTTCTTACACAAAGGATTTCATCATGTTTTCTTTTCTGCCAGGGTCTATCGGAAACTGCACAGTAAAAAGTAATTCTTTCTCTGAGTTTCTCTTCTGTGTTGTGGTTGTTGAAGGATTTAGCAGCAGGAGTCGTCTTGTAAGTTATTTCACCTCAACCAGCAGCCTTTTGTCTTTTTATCCGAACAGTATAGCCAAATACACAAGTGTCATTCGTTTTCCACAAGGGTGCATTGCTAGCAGCAGCACAGTGTCCTTGTGTATTCTGTCTCTGTGGGCAGGAAATAACAACAGACAGTGTTCAGCCGTACTGGAGTCTAGACTTCAGACTAAAGACAACAAACCTCACATTGCTATGAGACATCTTGCTAGCTCAGTTTGTGTTGCAAACTATGATTCTGAAAATCATCTACTTAGAATTTTTGAGTCTGGCACAGTATAGTTGGGGCCAATCAGTGAACTATTGTTGAAACTAGTTGTTGAAAACCAAACAGTTTTTTTTTAAAAACATTTCCAGAAAATGTATTATTTTTGTTTGAAGAAAAAGTAAATGAATAAATGTTATTATTTGACAATGCTATGGTTAAGGTTTTGTTAGATTTAGGCCCAAACTTACTTGGTTAGGTTTAGGGGAAGATGGTGTGGGTTAAAATTACAACTTTGTTAAGGTTACGGGACCTCTATGGTGGTAAAGGTTAAGGGTATGATCATTGCCATGGCTATAGAAACAATATTGACTGTGTTTGCAATGGGAAATAAAGAGCCTGTGTTAAAGTCTAAAGTTTTGTTGACCCAAACTTCCCCAACCGCAACCTCCCGACATGGACTTTGTTGCTCTATAATATTGTCATCTTATTCCCTATGTTGCTCCCGTCAACGATTATGGCCACTAGAGGGCTTTGTGACTTGAACGTTAATATGTAATTTTAGGGAGCTTCCTCAAACTACTGATACTGTTGTTCTACCAGTGATGACAGTCTGGAAATGGCACCTGTTTTAAGCAAGTTCATCCAAAGCAAAATAATGCACTGTCTGAGGCTGGACATCAACAGACAGAAGGAAAAAAGAAGGTGGAGATCCTGTCACCCAATTCCAAGACCCTGCTGTGCCAGCATCTATTCCACATAATTACACTGGGCCACAAATAGAAAGGCGGTTTTCTCTTCTCTCCTTTTCTCCTTCCTGTGTCGCTCAGCAGCAAAGGACAGCGGCAGGGTGGGAGTATTTAGATGTGAGAAAAGGCAATTTGTCAGAAACCTAAGGGAGCACTGGAGTGATGACAAGAGAATTACAGTAAAAGGACTAAAGGGCTGAACGGTTAATTCTGTGATAGCAGAAGAGGAATGAGGATGGAAGGCTCAGCATGTTTGCTTGTGTGTGTTGGAATCCCATTATTTTCTTAGATGAGCAAGTAGAAAATAATTGAAAAATCTATGTTTGAGTTCTACGGCTCGGGTGCACCACACAAACATACACAGATCCGAGTAGATGCAATGTGACGGTGGTTGTTGTGTAACCTAGTCCAGTGAGTCATGAGAGGGTGGAATGTGTTGTTGTGATGGTTGGAGGAGGAGGCGGCCTGCCAGGGGATACACTGGCGGAGACAGTCAGATCCGTTAGCAAAGTCATCTGGGAGAGCAAGAAAGAGGCTGGACATTTGGTTTCAGGCCTTGCCTTAACTGCCAGTGGTTGTCTGGACCCTGGACCACAAGTGAGGCGTAAATAAATCTGAGCCTTTACGCATACATGACTGTGGACAAAAATCACGTATGTGCACATAACCACATACGCATGCCAACAGAAACATATGTGCAGACACACACGCAACATTAAATGAGTGGAAAATGACACAGTGTGATAGAAGGAGGTTATCAGGCTGAAATAAACCAACCTTCCTCCATGCGCACACACATACACACAAACACAGAAAACAAGAAATGTGCTGAAAATTCAAATGTATGTTGCGGTGCTTTAAAGTGTACTCCTACCAGAATCACACACAATATTTACAAAATTGTACCTTATTTGAATGTGTGTGTCATCTCACCCTGGGAGCTATTTGTTTTCGGAGGTATGTAGGAAATTCAGTTTGTATGCGTTTGTGTGTGTGCCTGTGATGCTTGTCTTGCACACACTCCTTCCCTCGCTGTCGTACATGCCTGGATTCGGGCTGCGTGTCCGTGGCAGCGTTATCATCCAAAGAGGCAAACAGCCAGCCCCTGATATAATAAGCTGCCTAGGGAGTCACAGAGAGGTGGGGAAGCACTATTAGCTGATAACTGTCCTCCCTGCAAGCCCAGCTTTTTCCTCTGACAGCCCTGCCAAGAGAAGACTCAGCTTCTACTCGTTTTCTGTGATGAATGTGTGTGTTGTGTGTGTGTGTGTGTGAGCGATCTCCCGTTGGCTGCTGCCCACGTGTCTGTAGGCTTCGTCCGTCCTTTCCTGCATCTCTCTGGGTGTCAGACAGACAGCAGAGGAGAGCCCACACGTGGCAATGGCAAGCCTGAGCCCAGCACAGAAAAGCATATGCTCAGAGCTTCAGTCCTTCAGCCCCCACCCCCCCAACCCCATCCACCAACCAAACACACCCCATCATGGCTGCCATCCTGCCAAGCCGCAGAAAGCCATGGGCAGACTACTGACAGATTTCCCCATCTATCACTCTGGTCTGTACTTAACACAAGCCATACAGCAGTAACATCATCCTACCATAACCTTGAAACCAGTGCTCAGAAACAAACACTACTAATATACCACAACAAATACAAAAAACAACAATATTTTACAGAGCAACTGCTGCGCTGCCATGTTTAAACTGTATTTAGGCAGTTGCGCTGCAGTTCATAGACATATTTAAGAGCAATAAGTCCATATTTCATCCAGTCTGTTCAAGTAGTGTTTTATAAAGTTTGTAAATGTAATACATTAAATTACTCCTGTCTTTGTATAAAAAATATTGTCAGTTTGCCCCGGTGTGTATGCGTGTAAGCTACTTGATTATACACCTTGTTAACAGCAGATCAACTACACAGATGAGTGCAACGCACACACTGTTATTTCTTACTACATATCCTTCATTTCCCACTAGTATTGCTTTTATTTTTCATGCAGTTCTGTTGATTAAAGCATCTTCTGACACTTTCATGACACAGAGTAGACTCTTTCAGCCTTCTTGCTTTCTATATTTTATGTTACTATAATGTTATGTTGTATATGGATGCAAACACGTTCTAGGCTACGGATCATTTATACCTATATAAGATCCAAATCCAATGCAAACCAGATACTTGGTTGGTCGGGTAGCCTATATCCCATCACAGTCCCATGCATTTACACTTAACACCTTGAGGGGAACCGTCATATATTATATAAAAAGTTATAGGTTCTAATTTTATTTTTACAGCCACTGCTGCCACTGTTGTGTATGTTATATTTATTTAGGAAGTGGTCATTGGTTATGTTGCTAATGGTGGCTGTGTGCATGCTGTGATGTGTGCGATATATAGGCTTATTAAGTTTCATAAGGTTTGTGTGGTAGGAGGGTTGACTGTCATGGACCCATATTCTGCTGAAGTACACACACATTTGTAAGAAGGATTTGCATTTTGGCTGAAGAAATTAGCTGTTGTGTTTCAAAACTAGAATTATCATAGTAACTTTGGCAGTGTGACACAGTAAAGTTGTGTTGGTAGTTTGCTCCCCTGATAAATAACAGTCCTCAACAAACACAAACTAAGTAAGCTAATAATTAATGAAAAACAATTCGCATTAAACATTAAAAAAATACTGACACTGAACATAATCCACAGTGTCAGATTTGGTAAACTTCTTGAGCACGCCTTGTGTTGTATCTTTCTTTAAATTACAGAAATTTTCTATTGGTCATTTGATGTTAAACATTTCTAAGACTGTGTTTATTACATATCATTATTAATTCCAACAATATGATTGCTCTGTAACATAAACAGAGTAGTACCCAACACCAGCAGCTATGAATATATTTCCAAATTTTCACTGTGACACCTTCACCTTTCTCTTTTTTTATCCCACCATCTGTCTCTGAAATCTCGCACTCCCTCCCCTACCTTGAGGAGGAGATAATTTGGATGTCCAATCTTTTCTATTTCAAAGCTGCTGGTATTATTTCGTGATCAGTTATTGCTGCGTTATCACACACAATAAAGTACACTGTTGCACTCGGGCTCGCATGATGGGTATACTATGGGGTGGCCACGGTGACCCGCAGCTGACATCGATGATTGATCCTGGTGCTGGGATAAGTGCCTGCGCACCGGTGAGCACACCGGCCCACTGAAATGCAGCCAGGCAGAAAATTAGAAATGTCTTCATCCCTGGTCTATTTGAAATCCGATATCTCCCATCTCCCCCTTGCACGGGCAACTTTCCAATAAATCAGTAATTAATTGATGTGTTTGTATGTGTGTGTGTGTGTGTGTGTGTGTGTACACGAGGGCTGGTATATCCTTGGGGGGTCAGTCCAGGCAGTTGGGGTGATGAGAGTATTAAGTCTTCAGCAAAACTGCCCGACCCCCAAAACGCACATGTACACTTCCTATTGTCTGCCTAAAAACAGAAACACACCCTTACTTACAAACACTGTATTGTCCCAGATACAAACACATGCCCACTCACAAGCACACTCATACACATTCTTTGTACAATGTGTGTTTAGAGTCAGATGGAGGTGTAACAGTGCCTCTGGTATCAAATAAATCAAAGTCAGGCCTCCTCTGAGCGCTGCACCTGACCTTTTGGAAGCCATCAGTGCAGTTCCACTCCTACAATCACACTGGTGTCCCTCATGTTAATGTTTCCTGTTGTTTCTTAACTTCTAACATATATCTCTTTGTGTTGTCCAGGTACGTCGGCCCAGGGCAGCCCCCTTCTGGCTTCCCTCCCTGTCCCAGGACGGCCTCTGCAGCCACAGCTCGACCTCAAACACCTCCTGCCCTTTAGACTCAATGGATCCTCTCCCCTCAGCCTCTTCCCTAACTTTAACGCGGTGAGTGCAATGGCTCTTTGGCACCTGATATCATGGAAAATAGCAATTAGATGGGACATTAAAGCTAGAGTGTGGGACTTTTGCATATAAATGAACATCCGTTACATTCAAGCCCTTAGTAAATCACTTCACACAATTCTGATTAAGCCGATTATCGGCAAGTAAATACCAGAGTTTTTAAATCTGGTGTCTGTGGCGACGTTTCCACGCTGATGTGTTTTATGCCAACCAGCAATGACTGGTTTGCCAGACCGTAGCGACATATAAGACATAATTCTTTACTCTCAGGGACTTTTCAACTTCATGCTGGTTTTGAGTCTATATCAGTCAGAGATATAAAGAAAGACAGGCTATAAAATCATGCCCTTAATGCTAGCCATCCTGTTATTCACCATCTCACTATCTGTTCTGCCAGACCTTGGCCTCCAGCACTCGTCCCATAAACTCTACTGCCGTTTCTTTGTAGAGGCCTCACCTTAGGTCTGCAGTGCTAGTCTTTATCCGAGCAGTGTTTCACCTCTCAGCATTGCTGTTGTCACCCCAGTATCCACATCTCTACAGATGAGCCCCTCTATTACTTTGTTTCGAATGTCAGCAACAAACTGTTTGGTTTTTAAGCCCCTTGGCTTTGATGCTTGCCTTGCCTCGGTACCTGGAATTAAAAGCTTGTATCTTTGATCCTTTACTTACCAGCGCTCTACCCATTGTCATTTTGTGTGTATGTGTGTGTGTGTGTGTGTAGGCACTTCTAATTTCTTTGATCCTAGTTTTACGCTGTGTGTGTGTGTGTGTGTGTGTGTGTGTGTGTGTGTGTTAAGTTCCCTCATCGCACAGTGTGAAAACATCTCCAGTTCTGTGGTCTGTAAATGAAACATAAGCCAGGGCTTTCACTCCAGCATGCACTTTACACCTTTTCAAACACAGTGAAAAAGATAGGATGAGAGAGGGAGGTAGGGCCACACAGACATCTGGCTAGCTGGTTCTTACAGAGGATGACATGTGTGAGGGGGTGGATGAGACATAAACGTGTGCTGTATGATGTGTGGAAGTAGGGAGACTCCAAACTGCTATGTGAAAAGTGCAGTTTATTCATTTGTTCTGCCGCCCACTGCTTTGGGTCGTGAGGTCGCCTATACTGCTCTGTGAATATTGAGCATGCCTAGCAGCAAAAGCAGCGTGGAAAACACTCAATGCTTTAACACCCTCATGTATTTATATTAGTGGTGGAGGTAGTAGGGCAGGTCTCTGGTCAGTGTTTTGTCTGTGTTATGCTTATGTTTCAATGGGAAAATTGTTGTTTCTATTCTTAAACCTATGTCTGTGCCTCACAGCTCTGGTTCAGGCATTTATGCTGTATGATAAAAAAATATTAAAATTATGCGTAGTCATATCAGTAACAATTATTGTAGAAGAAAACATTAATGAATGCGGCAAGCTTGTACACAGGAAATCATGTTTACGGAATGGTATTCAGTCAGCTATTGTTAAATAGAATACAAGTCGCGGTAGGATGTGAAATCTACCACAACCAGAATGCAGAAATTATGATAACTGCGGAAATAACATCAAATCAGCGTTGCTTCAATCCCGGGAGGAGATGATTACCCTCCATAACACACAGTCTGACAGCGCAGCTGTGGCATTAATCACAAAGTCCATTCAACTGGGAGCCCCAGGTTCTCTGAGCCCTGATAAGGCACACGTTGTCCCGGAGGTGTGCAGGGGGTAAGATGAATGCACCTGTCTCCAAAACTAAATATCCTCCAGTTCCCCTGGTGTCCCTTCTTACATCCTCCCCCTCCTCACCCACTCCCCATCTCCCTGTGTGTCTCTTTCTCCTTCTTTCTCTCTACCTACCCTGAAACCCCATCATGGACTCAGCCACCCGGCTCAGGATAAGTTCTGTCTGCACCAGGATAGCGGGGGGAGGGCTTAGACAAAAGACGCATTTATAGCAGTCGGTTCAGGATGGCTGCGGACAGACAATGGGCACATTCTTCAGTTCCTAAAACAAATAGCTGTGTGCAGCCTGCCCTGCTAAGGTGCACAGAGGGCAGCAAAAGTGGAAGAGCTAGGTTTCCATGGTCAGACTTCAGCTGGTGAAGGGAAAGGTAGTTGCTCCCAGAGGTAGCTTTGAGTCATGTAGAAGAGGCCAAAATAAAGCAACAAAGGCAAAGATAGCCCTGAGGGAGAGAAATCCAGCGTGGCAGTTTCAGTGTCAGGTGTGTTTTTATTCCCTCTCACACCTGCCCTTGAGGAATCCATAGTAAACAGACTCGACTCTTGCAGAGAAGGCAGCTGCCTTGGACATGGCACAGCTTTTTGTATGGTACGGAGGGGTCTGGGGCCTGTACCACGAAGCAGGATTTGAGCTTATCCAGATAACTTTGGGGTTAACCCTGGGTTTTCAGTATCCAACGGTGGATCACTTCTTACCGGGGGTAGATCACCATGGTAACTTATGCTTATACTGAATTTATGCTGGTTATGTTCCAGATAAGAGAGCAACTCTTTAAAAACGCCGCCTACTGACCAGACGGTTCAATGGGAAAATGACATCACCATCTGTAGGAAATCCCACAGACTGTTATATAAGCTGCTTTTATGTTTACTGCAGTGATGTGGAGAAACTTTTGTATAGCGACATTATCCTACAGAGACTCATTGAAAAGCTTTGTAAGCTACTACTTGTTGTTGGTTTTTACAGTAGGCCTAAGCCTACTTACCACTTTGAAATGTGTTTTATACTTTTTATTTTCCAAGTCCTTTTCACACAGCCTGTTTTTAAAAAATGGGTTTATTTTGTCTTATGTGAGCTGAATATTATGAGCATATAGTTTAGTAGGCCTATTGAAATTAAGTTTAATATGAATGTATTTTAGGTTAGTAGCTATGTTGTATTATAGAGACTAGTCATGAGGCGCCCAACCTTTTGCTATATGGGCGCAGGCAATGTGGGGGAATTCCAGTAGCCAAATTGTTGATATTCAGTCTCTTCGACCACTATTTGAAGATATTTTATGGTGTGAATGGATTTTTCATTTCATTGCTATATGAAGTGAATTTCAAACAATGTTTGAAACACATTTGAGTGTGTTAAATAAATTAATCAGATTTTTGAAGTGACGAGAATTTCTTAAAAGTGAATTGGAATGACCACTCATTCAGTGGCCAAGGCTTTTAACGTGGAAATACAGACACACAGCTGAGCTGAAACAATAAGGCTAATATTTTCATAGACGCCATAAGAACACATCAAATCAATGCATTATTATAGACTACGCCTGTTCTTAGGCATTCACACTGTTGCCGATTTTCTGTCGTCCTGCATGTGTCAGCTGCAGCTGTGTTACTTAGACTTTGTCTATATATTCAAGTTTTCTCTTGTTTTGTAAAATATCATATGCCGCTCTGCTTCCAGTGGACTTGTCCATGTTTGTGATTGGTCATCTCAGAATCAGCTTTATTTGCCAGGTATGTGTACACATACGGGGAATTTGACTCTGGATTGTACAATGCTCACGATGTGCTTACTTATACAATGATACACAATAATACAGTAATAAAATCAAACACAGGATAGAGATACAATATAGAGAACACATATATACACACTATAAACAAAACAGACAGATTGAGACAATAGTGCAATGGTGCCATGAGCAGAGTGCAAAGGATCCAGCTGCTAACACTGCCTCTTTTATGTGAACACGCTCATGGCTTGATTGGGAAACCCTGGGTTGACTTACTGAGTTGATAACCAGCTTTGTGTGACCGCTTATCCTGATCCCAATTGTTAGGGTTAGTGAAGCCAAATAACGAAAAGATATCTTGAGTATGTTGAACTTGCTTTGTGGCACAGGCCCCTGATGTCGTTTGGACTTGTATATCAGAAAAAAAAGCCAAGCAGTGTGCCATTCTCGTCGCCATCAATACACCAGCACTGCTTGATCTCTGGGTAGCTGAGGCTGTCAGCAGTACCACCGGTGTGGTTCCCATGAGCGGTCTAACTGAGTGTGATTACACTGCTCTGCCCGGCTTTCCTGAGTCCTTTATCCCAGGAGAGCTGAGGTATGGACTGGGCCAAGACCTGTGCCAGCCTGGGGAGAGATCCAAGGTGATTGTTTTATGTGATACTATGCTGAAGGGTGCCGTAATGAAATCAGCTGTCATCGTGGCATGCAGAGCTTTTAATGAAGCCTCGGCTTTCACTCTGCTGTTTATAGTATGCCATTCTGGGACTCTCTGCAGTCTTTTCACAGACAGTTAAACTGAATTAGTCTGCCCAAAACCCTCTCCAGAAGCACTTCCCTGTGGGCTGCCATGATTCATAATGCATTAGACAGTCACATTTCTGATATTACAGTGAACTCCAACTTAAAATAGGAGCTGTAGTGAGGCTTGTAACAACAATACAATACAATACAAAGCTGGATTTAAAGTCAACGCAAGGGGCTGACTTTAAATCCAGGTACTTATGGCATAGGTTTTGATTTATAGTTGAGTGTCACTCAACTTACTTCGATAATACAATATGTATTGCACTTCGATAATATTCCCTATAGTAACAGTGTGTTTGCATTCTTTGATTTACTCTGTCATCCAGGTAACTTATCACATCATTTCACCATGTCTCATTACTGAATAGAAGGCCACCTGTGTGTAATTGGTGTGTATGCATTCATTCATTCATATAGAGATGTGATCGTGCTGAAGGTCTGCAGTGTAATGGCTTTACTAGATGTGCGTAACTGAAAAAGAAAAGACTACTGAGAGTCTTTCTTAATGTTTGCCTTCACTGTCAACAATCTCTACCAGCATCAGAAACTTGAATGATGCCTAAGCTCGTAGTCTACGGCATAACCTTTTAATCTAGGCACATATCTGCCGTACAATGTAACCCCTAGATGCAGTTTAAATCGTCTGGTATGTGCAAAATAAAAATTGGTTACATCTGACAGTATGTCTGTGGTCTGCCATGTTTTTAAAATCAGTTAAGATTTGAAAATCTTCTAATGTGCACCAGGAATTAAGAGAGTCTGGCACACATCTTAATTATTATCTAAACACAGTGACCAGTCACGTACAGAAAAAGGGATTCCACACCAGCAGAATGTCTCCTGTCTTGACTGTGAAGGCAATTGAGAGCAGCCACAGAAACACATCACCAAAATCAAAATATTCTCTTCCAAATGTATTGCATAATCCAAAGTACTCAGGTGCACAATGACGTGACCAATATCAAACATTTCAGTTTCTCAGACTTTCATCAGTGCTTACAGAAATGGTTTCAGGTCACTTAAATATAGAAGGCACAGGTGCAATCAATGAATTATCAGTTCAATTAAGTAGAACAAAGGAACTGCTTCCACAGCACAGATACTAAAACATACTGAGTAGGCTACTGTCTTATGAGTGAACCAAAATCACGTTAGACATTAAAAAAAATCAAGCAATCATTCTACCCTCGTTGCCTGGGGAAAAAAAGAAGCTGGTAAAAATAATTAAATAAAAAAACAGAATAATCCTAATGGACAATTGCAGCCCATCAAAGTATGTCCACTGAAGTGCTTGTGTTTGCTCTCATTCAATATTGGACCAATTTAGAAATTATTGTCCCAGTAAATCACATAGACACAAAATATGGGAAAATAGGGTCCAGGTTGAAAAATACAGAACTTAGCCTTTGAGTAAAGATGTGAGTGTCCAAAAAACGGGCAATGTTCTGCACACCCACACAGGTATTTTTCCTAACCTGCTCATCAGGCCTCATTTTAGGGTAAAGTTAGGCAGAGCTCTGCTGACATTTACTTGAGGTCAACAAACTCAACATACCATCAGGAATGATAAAAATGCACAAAGCACATTCGCCCAACCCAAATCTCCACGCTCCCCGCTTTATAAAGCCGTCCCACTGTCAAATAGTCAACTGTATGAAGAAGTTTACATACAATACATTCACATACAATATGACGCTGTTTTGGATAAAAACAAGTTAATTATTTTAAAATGACGTCTCGTCCACTCTGTAAGGCAAGAGCCTGAAATAGGTTCAGATCAGTCAGTCCCTTAAGTGCTTTGTCCGTGAAGGAAGAAACAAACATAAAATAAAAAGTCCCTGACCCACAATTGTACATAGCATGTTTTGGCGTTGTCAAGGTAACATGACATATGTTACAAATTGTTTATTCCATTTTGGGCCTTTTCAGCCTCTCGCACTCAAGCACTTACCAGGAGTTTGAAGACTACATTATGTATTATTATTGTGACAGTAGAACACATTATTTCCCAAATGACAAATAAGCCGATTTGCATAATAAGGGGGCCAAAGTTGCCTCCATTGAACTTGTATTTGATTAAAAAAATGGAAACATTTTGAAAAAGAAAACACATCTTGGATAGAATATGGTTTGACGCATGAAGAAGAAATTGTGAGGAAGAAATAATATAATCTGTTGTGTCAAATAAGAAATTAAGAGTCTCAAGCAAGGCCATCTTTATGTTGAGTGTCGATGTATAAACAAAGACCTCTCACGTTACCACAAAGTTGTGTCATCTGAAACTCTAATTAGCGTTCACTGTGGTTTGATGAAACGTATCAGCTGTCTTAACTGAGGTCATCTGGTGGTGGTGTTGACCCATCTGAAGGACATTACAGGCCCCTTGCTGGACCCCCTGCAGTTTGCCTACAGGGCTAACAGATCAGTGGATGATGCATTTAACTTCAGACTGCATTACATCCTGCAATCCTCGACTCTCCACGGACATATGCAAGGATCCTGCTCGGCGTTCAACACTATGATCCTGGACATCCTCAGCACCAAACTCACTCAGCTCACTGTGCCAGCCTCCACCTTTCAGTGGATCACAAACTTCCTGACTGACAGGAGTCAGTAGCTGAGGCTAGGGAACATCACATCCAGCACCCAGACTATTAGCACTGGCGCCCCCCAGGGGTGTGTGCTCTCCCCACTGCTCTTCTCCCTCTATACCAACAACTGCACCTCAGGAGACCCATCTGTCAAACTCCTGAAATACGCTGAAGACAGAACTGTCATCGGCCTCATCTGGAACGGTGATGAGTCGGCCTACAGACGCGAGGTTGATCAGCTGGCTGTCTGGTGGTCAGAATAACCTGAGCTTAATACGCTCAAAACTGTGGAGATGACCGTGGACTTCAGGAGGAACCCCCCCGCTCTGCCCCCCATCACCATACTCAACAGACCCTGTGTCTGCTGTGGAATCCTTCAGGTTTCTGGGATCCACCATATCCCAGGACCTAAAGTGGGAGTCCAACACTGACACCACGATCAAGAAGGCCCAGCAGAGGATGTACTTCCTGCGCCAGCTCAGGAAGCTCAACCTGTCTAAGGAGCTGATGATCCACTTCTACACAGCCATCATCCAGTCTGTCCTCTGCATGTCCATCACAGTCTGGTTTGGATCTGCCACCAAAAAGGACAGGGACAGACTACAATGGATAGTCAGAACTGCAGAAAAGATCATTGGTGCCAACTTGCCCTCCATTCAGGACTTACACATTTCCAGAGTCAAAAAATGAGCAGGAAACATCAGTGCAGATCCATCTTACCTTGGACACAACCTGTTCCAGCCTCACCCCTCTGGTAGGCGCTACAGAGCACTGTACGCCAAAACCAACAGAATCAGGAACAGTTTCTTCCCACAAGCCATCACTCTGATGAACAACTGACTTCTGACTCACGGTGTCAGGAACAATTCCTATGCAATAACCCAGTAACAGCCACCTGTTTACTGACCACCTGTTGTTTATTCATCATTCTCTCGTTCTCTATTTCAGAGCTGTTCATACTGTTCATATTGTCATATTGTATACTGTATATACTGTATACCAAATCCACCTACCTCAAGTACATAATACTTATTTATTCCAGTATGCTTTGCACTATGCTCCATCACACTGTGTACATGTATACATGCATGTGTATGTGCACCTGTATATCTAATCCACCTCAGACATGTTCATAATAATAACAATAATAATGGTAATAATTTTGCTCCTGCATCCTTTGTCTATATTGTTTTTGTTTGTAGTGTGTATATGTGTTCTCTATACTGTAGCCTGTGTCTGATTTTATTAATGTATTATTGTATATGTAAACACATTGTGAGCAATGTACAATCCTGAGTCAGATTCCTCATATGTGTACACATACCTGGCAATAAAGCTGATTCTGATTTTGTCGCTTTATCTCTTCTAACTGCCATCATCTAGTCCATCATAAGAAGCATATCAGTGTGACTCTTAATGCACTTCTACCTTTTCCCTTTTATGGAAAGTAACAACAATGTACTTCATTCATGTAGACAAAACAGCCACTAATATCAGAAAAGTCATGCACAAAGCTCTGAGTATTTCACACTGTCCTTACCATGAGAAATTGAAATATTCTCACATCACAGGGTCATCCGACCTTACGCCAAATCATTGAGTAAAGTTTTATTCCAGATTTATGCTGTAAACCTACTCAGCTATCACAGGTAGACACTCCTGCTTGTCCCTGATTTCGAGGTCATAGTTGTGTTTTTTTTTGTTTTTTTTATCTTGACTCACTAAGATTAACATGTGAGGAGCATATTCTCTTTATGCTGTCTGACACCAAAATATGATATTCATCACTAATAAATGTATGTGTATATATATATATATATATAATAACTGTAGCTGCTGGAAATAGTTGGGCATGATGTTGATGCTGTCTAATGATGTATTAGAGGATACACTAGAGCAGTGGTTCTTAACCTGGGAGTCGGGACCCCTCTGGTCCCATGGGGGTCGCGAAAATGCTAATATAGACACAAAAATAGAAAAAAACACAACTTTCAAATAACTAGACGGTTCCCCCCGACGAGGGGGGGAGGCAGGGACAGGCAACAGAGGAAATGGTCTGCCTGCGACATCGGAGCCAGGCTGCATGAAGGCCGCACGGCCAGCTGCAGCCGGTCCACGTAGTGTGACGGCGGCCACTGACTTCGTAGAGACAGTGGTCGCAGGTATTCTGCTTGTGTCATCGGAACCAGACTGCATGAAAGCCATCCGGCCAGCTGCAGCCTGTCCGTGTTATGCCACTCCCCTAGTGAGGGGAGAGAGGCAGGGGCTCATCGGCATGTGTACATGTGGGGTCAGGCCAGCCACCTGACCATATCAGGGATGGGGGCAAGGAGAGAGAGGATGTGCAGGAGGAGGTGCAGCTTTGCAGCAGCCCAGGCTGCTTGTTAGCCAACAATAATAATAATAATAATATAATAATTGTTTTATTAATATATTTGTTATTAATAGGAGTAGTAGCAGCAGTAGTAGTAGTAGTAGTAGTAGTAGTATATTTCATCTTGGATTAATTAAAGTTGTCGAAGTTGCAGGCATGATCACTCAATCATGATTGGACCAAAATAGTCACGTGACACACGCAGTTGGAAGACAATAAAATTGGTCGAAGGTGTAATATTTACAAAAATATAGGCCTACAGCCTGTACTAACTTTAAATACAGTGTTTTCAACATATACTTTACTTTGGCGGGCCGGCCAGGTATATTAGACTTTATGAAATGTGCTGCTGCTGGAGAAAGGCAGCAGAGAAACATACAGGGAGAGAGAGACAGAAAAAGGCAGCGCAAGCCGACGTGTGTTTGCCGTGAGAGACCAGAGGTGCAGACTAGGTGTGTGTGTGTGTGTGTGTGTGTGTGTGTGTGTGTGAGTATTGGGAGAAGAGAAGTAGAAGTAGTCAGGTAGTAAATAAACACTAATATAAGTTGGAAAATGACCTACAATAACCTCCTGTACAAAAACAAGATGCACTGCAACTGTGCCAAAAGTATGGCCACACACCTCTGAGGTGAGGTTGTTCTACTGCACAGAAATTTTTCATTTGGGAAAATAAAATCTTATAGAACTAATGTTATTTGTACTGGTCTTTTTGTTCTGTCTCTCAGATGGACCCTGTCCAGAAGGCAGTGATCAACCACACATTTGGTGTCCCTCAGCCCCTAAAGAAGAAACAGATTATCTCCTGCAACATTTGCCACCTGCGCTTTAACTCAACGGTAAGAAACACTTTAGTGGCATTATGCTATGCTGTTTATGAGAAAGATTGAGAGGTTGTGGGACAGTAAGAGAGAAAAAGAGACGACATGCCAGACTGTGTAATTTACAACATAAAAGCAATCTCTTCCAAAAAGTGAGTCTAGCCTCAGAGAACAATATCTCTTTGTTTTGTGCTTCTGCCATTTCCTTTAATGTTGTTTTTTGAAAATATGGCTGTTCCTCAATTACCTCAGCTCTCATCCCCACTGAATCAATGTGTTGGTGTATACTGTATCTTTGTGTGAATATGCAAAACAAGAAACTAAATTGACTGCTTTCTGTAAACTTATGTACTTATGTCTAATACTTATGTACCTTTAAATGAAAAGTTAGTCCTTTTTTTTTTTTTCAGTTATGTGTACAAAAGTTTGTTCAGTTTCCTTTCAGTAAAATTGCTATGCGTGTGTCTGTCTGTTGTTTTGGTATGAGGGATTAGACAGCAGGGAAAGCTGCCGTTTATCAGCAAAGAGCAGAAACAATCAGCAGCCCCAGCAGGAAGCAGCATTCTCAGCTCCTCATTCCATTTCTCCCACCCCTGCCACCTCTGGCACACACATATAGACAAATACACACACACACACACACACACACACATACTGTACACTTGCAAACATGAACACTAGTGCATACACACACAGAGACACACATTACACATCCCATGACATTTCATGCATATTCACATAAACAAATAGATAATAGAACAAAAAGCCTTAAGACATCTCATGTCTGGGCATAGTAAAAACGCGTGCACACACACACACACACATGCACACACTTTTTTTTGGACTCCATCTTCAAAGAAGAGCTGAGGCACAGGAGACAGGGAGTTGGGGAGGGGGGACTCAGACGTGCTCTTCACACACTAGAGCAAATCCCATTCCTTGCCTCTGCACACCGACTTAAAGAGGAGTGTCAGGTCTGACTGTAGCTTTATCTGTCTCTCTGAGAGCATGAATACTTTCCTAACACTTCTATGCACCCTCCTCAGAGTTTGCTCAGATATTATACCAAGTAGGCCTATTCCTAATGCATAATGCTCAAAGAGGAAATAAGTAAACTTTCTCTGCTCAATATAGCACATATTGACATTAAAGAGCACTTAAAACCACCTGAAAATCTTGTTTTTGCTGACCTGGTTCAACTTCTTACCTACAGTGATGTGAGGTGTACTCCACATGCACTGTTTTGGGGAAAATACGCCTTTTCCACTTTCTTGCCAAGAGTCAGACGAGCAAATCAATACTGCTCTCATGTCTGTATGCTAAGTTAGCAGCCACTTAGCCTAGTGTAGCACAAAGATTTAAAACTGGGTCTGTCCCAAAGGAACAAAATCTTCCTAACTGGACCTTTAAACTTGAAAAATAGTTAGGGCATATTCCTTTGTTTTAGTTGTTTACTGAAGACATTTGGGTTTAAGATCAAAAGATGAGTATGAGACAAGAGTTCAGAATTTCAGCTCTCATTTCCTGGTATTCACATCTAGATGTGTTGAACAACTTAGGACATACCACCCTTTATTTGAACCCAACCATTTTTCAAGTGAGCAAAACTATTGGAACATGTGACTGATGTGTGTGATGTTTCTTGTTGCAAAGGTGTTGCCTTTTAGGTTGATTGTCCAAACATTAACTAGTCTAAGTTTTCATCCTTGGTTCAAATCTATAAATACTGCATTTCCTGTTAAAGAGGATAAACCAACATGAAGACCAGAGAGCTGTCTATGGGAGAAAAGCAAGCCATTGTCAAGCTGAGAAAAGAAGGAAAATCGACCAGAGCCATTGGACAAACATTGGGCATAGCAAGCACAACAATTTGTCCTGAAGAAGAAAGAAACTACTGGTGTACTGAGCAACAGACGTCCAACAGGTCGGCCAAGGACCGCAACAGTAGTAGAAGACAGAAATATCGTGAGAGCTGTGAAGAAAAACCCCAAAACATCAGTAAGTGACATCACCAACGACCTCCACAGTGCAGGGGTGAAGGGATCACAATCCACTGTTGGAAGAAGACTCAGAGAGCAGAAATATAGAGGCCACACCACAAGATGCAAACCAATCATCAGCAGGAAGAATCGGAAGGCCAGATTGAAATTTGCAAAGAAGTACAGAGATGAGCCACAAAAGTTCTGTAACACGATCTTATGGACTGATGAGACCAAGATTAATCTCTACCAAAGTGATGGAAAGGCCAAAGTGTGGAGAAAGAAAGGAACTGCTAATGATCCGAAGCATAAAAGCTCATCTGTGAAGCATGGTGGAGGTAATGTCATGGCTTGGGCCTGCATGGTTGCTTCTGGAACAGGCTCATTAATATTTATTGATGATGTAACTGATGATGGAAGCAGCAGAATGTGAACAGAAGTGTACAGAAACATTTTGTCTGCCAATTTATGGAGAAATGCATTGAAACTCATCGGAAGGAAGTTTATCATGCAGCAGGACAATGACCCAAAGCACACTGCCAACAAAACAAAGGACTTCATCAGGGGAAAAAAGTGGAAGGTTTTAGACTGGCCAAGTCAATCAGCTGACCTTAACCCAATAGAGCATACATTTCACCTCCTTAAGAGGAGACTGAAAGGAGAAACACCCCGAAACAAACAAGAAAGAAAGCTGCGGTAAAAGCCTGGACTAGCATCACAAATGAAGAATGCAACAGTTTGGTGATGTCGATGGGTCGCAGACTTCAGGCAGTTATTGTAAGCAAGGGTTATGCCACCAAATATTAAACATTATTTACTTACTATTTGTTCCATTACTTTTGCTCATCTAAGAATGCTGTGGTCTAATACAAACGGTGGTACTGTATGTCCTGAGTTGTTTAACACATCTAGATGTAAATACCAGGAAATGAAAGCTGAAATTCTGAACTCTTGTCTCTTACTCATCTTTTGATCTTAAATCCAGATGTCTTCAGTGAACAGCAAAAACAAAGGAATTCGCCTTACCGTTCCAATACTTTTGGAGGGGACTATATAAAAATAGCAAATGAAAGGGAGGCAGTGTTACAGCATTTTGCATGCCAATGTGGATCATCAGATGTTATACAATTTTTCATAAAAAATAATTATAAACTAAAAGTACTATTTAATGCAGTGCCCATTTTTGGGACTGGGTATATAATGAACAGTGATGTAAAATACTTCAAGTACTACAATACGTGAAAACATAGTAGTATGTGTAAGGAAGGAGGATGTTCTTTTTTGTTTCATGTCTTTGCTCTTGTTCATAATATTCCAAATTTGACATTGTCATGACATAATAGAACTTAATTAGGCTACATATATTTATAGCACAGTGCAGCAAAAACATATCAGAGACTCTGTGTGAATTTAGTAAAAGCAATATTTTTACCACTACCCTACATTTTTAGTAACTGTTCCATACACCTCCACAATCAAAATAGGCAGCTCAGTGAGAAATGTAATTGATTGCACCAATGTAATTGAGTGGCCCTTTAACCATTGTAATTCCCAACATCAGTGATTGTTAAATTAAGCAAACCAACTGGCAGATCCATTTTATTTTTATGTCTTTGTAATTATTTTTGCTACAAACAAGTCATCCACACCCACTAAACATATGTCCGTGCACCAGATATAGTCCAGTGTATACTTTTAGCCGTAGGATTGCTTAATCACCGGATAATCAAGAATCCCTTAGAAGAGTACTGCATCCTGCTGGCCGGAATGGTGATGTGAAAACCAAAGCTCATTTCACACCTTGTCCATCTGCCTCCGCTGAGACTCAATTGGACTTAGAGGCTGGTGGTGGAGAAGGCACTGGCTGAATTCGTCACATCACGCTAATCTCTGAAGCCTTTTCACGGCAGATCAGGCACATGATGCACTGAAGTATCAAGTTGTTTTTACAGATGCTTTGACTGCCACATTATTTATAGGCCTCCACTATATCGCACCATTAAGTTTACTAATGTGAAGTGTACATGTTTATGTATTGCCAGTGTTCACACAGAGAAAACACATGAGACTGGTAGCGGTGTATGTATGTGTGCCTTGTATCATTGCACTAACATAAGAAATAATCTTGGTTATTGCTTACCGGAGTTAACGTATTGCTGATGCTTAGGTATTCAGAGAAATCCACATTTTGCTCCTAATGAAAAGGTCTTAGGAGTCTTCAGCTTGTGTGGTTTATTTTTCGAGGAAGTTAAACTGGATGATCTTGGAGGAACAACTTACCTTGCTGCACATGTGAAAGCATACGCCTTTTGGATATAAAAGGCTATTTTATACTTCCTTTCCTCCTTAATCCATCCATCTCTCTCTACTTTTGATGGTATGAATGTCCATATTAGTCAATATTCTCTATAATATTTCCACACTTTGGAAGTAATTTGGAATCATTAATTTTGTTATTGTACTGTATGTAATGAATCAGTGGTTGTGTATGATTTTTTTTGATAATGTGTCTGGGTTCTAGTTCTGCTCCTTCTCTCTAACTATGTCCTTTCCAGGCCCGGAGAGCTGATGAGAGCTCATCCCTGGAGGTTGTTAAAGCTTTTAATGAGTGATCTCTGTATTGATTTCTCTGATATTCTTATGTATCCAAGCTTGCTTTGACAACAGGGGCTTTGTTCTTGGATTGAACAGGGCCGTGAGAATGATGAGAATGTGAAGGTAAAACGTGATCCACCCAAGAGGAAATTTGTGTTTATTGCTGCATCACAGTCTGGCAGAATGTGTTTCGCGTCTGATTTGTGTTTGTGTAGTCGTGAGCGCTCAGGTGTGTGTGACATTAGTATGTACTGCCACATGTCTAGGACTTGCAGAGGCTGACTCTCACAGTGCACATTAATGGGGTAGTTGAAGAGATGGGATCCTCTTTCTTGTTGCATATTACACATGCAATTATACCTCCGGCCTCCCGATGTGCCATTGCTGTTATCAGGTGGAAACAGACTCTCTTCTTTGCAGCCTGTGTATGCCTGAGAGAGCCAATATTCAGGCGTGAATTTTAACATTTATTGCCCATGGGCTCCAGTCTCTCCAGCAGATAATGTATTAAGTCAGACACTCCTTTCTGCATTTTCCTCTCAGCCTGGTTTTCTGTCATTTTCCTGCAGAACCAAGCAGAGGCCCACTACAAGGGCCACAAACACGCCCGGAAGCTCAAAGCCATGGAGGCCCAGAAGAACAGGCAGCGACGAGGGGAGGCCTCATCCACAGGAAGGGAGAGAGACAGAGACAGAGACCGGGAACGAGATCGGGACAGGAGCAAGACGTCCACATCCGAGGCAGCTCTTCCCATGCTTATGGACACAAGCTTGGTGGAGGGAACAAGTACGTAAACAGACAGAGAGATTGGTAGAAAATCAACAGTAAGAGCATGCAATTTGTAACAGATCCTTCTCCACCTATTCGACGATCACTCTATCATGCTTTGGTTCCTCTAATTCCCCCTTCCTCGCTTCATTTCATCTTTCTAAACCCCCTCCACCAATTCTCCTGTCATTGACAGCTTCCATCCTCCTCCTCCATGTCCGGACCTCCCTTACCTCTTTCCCCCTGCTCCATTGTGTTACACCTAGATTACATCTTCTGTACACCTTATCCTTCACCCTCTCGCTCGCCTATCCCCTCTGTGTTTCTGTGCATTCAGACCTCAGCAATTTGAACCCACACTATCCCCCCAAAACCCCTCTGACCAGACGCTCTGTCCCTGTGCGTTGTGATGGATGGAGGGCTCCGAAGCTGTTGATTGTGGGATGTCTGGACACAAGAGAAGTTGTGTAAATAAAGAGGTTGATCCTAGCCTCAGTGGGGTAGTTTTTACCCCCTTTGCCTCCTTAATTTCCAGTGCTTGACTTCCCTTCTTTCCCTCCTGCTCTCTCCTATCTATCTCGGTTAGCTACAGAGGGTAGTTGGAGAAACAGAATTTCTGTATTTGTGCAGCATGAAAAGAACAACACATAGTGCTGAATGAGGGAACAAAATAGTGGTGAGGGTTTTCATTTGAGAGGCTGTCAAATTGAAAATAAAGTTAAAAGAAATCAAAGGCACTTATGTTCTTTTTACAAAAAAGTTGAGATGTTTTCACATCGTTGGTGTAAATATAGACATTTTAACTTTTGATCAAGAAAGAGGAGTGCATTGGTTTTCTTTCAGCAGAATGTGAATGTTGACTTTTCCATACGACATGGCAGCAACTTTAGCTCAGAGAGCAAGAATTGCTCATATGGCATTTTGACTGCAGAGCTAGCCATTACCTTTTGTTGTTGCACTCATCTGGGTCCATGCTTTTCATTTATCCATCTAAGGTGGAGGAGTGGAGGAGCGGTAGAGAGTTTTCCCCCTCTCTCTACTTTCCTACTTCATCTTCCCCTCCACTTCCCCTGCCCCAGAGAAGATCACTATCTGAGCAGAATTTCAAAATGTGCTTGGATCCTAGATGGAATATCAGAGATATCTTCCCCCCCCCACACACACACACACACACACACATACCATATAAATGCTTATGTGCACGTGGATACACATAGACATGCACACTAACTTGCCTTGAGCGCTAAGAGTCTCCTTCAGAAGAGGAGAAAGTGGACAAAAGACTAGGAGCCTGATAACACTCTCATCAAAACTCATTTTAATATTCCGTTGTTGCAAAGAAGGGCTCTGAAAGAGGGAAGCAGCAGTGGAGACGAAACCAGATGAGTGGAAAATGAAAGATAAGATGAAATGAATGAAGGAGAGAGAGGGAGAAATAAGAGAGAAAGAGCATGGACGGAGGGAAGGAGAGTCATTGGAAAGAGAAAGTAGATAAGTCATAGCTAGTTTTATGCTGTGAATAATTTTGCAGTTCCAATGCAATTTTGTGAGGAGGAACACTCTTTAATAAGCCCAATTGTGTGATTGGCCTAATGTGAAATTGAAATGCAGCAGTGCGAGCCAGTGGTGGCATGCACCACAATGCCAACCTGTAATGGAATAGCGTTCCAAATTAACACTCTATGAAATGAGTTATGTCTGCCATGAAACTGAAGGCTGGTGGGGAGCTGTCAGAGGGTAATGCCCACATTTTCTGCCATCAGGAACCCATAACACACCTGTCGGCTGTTCCTCGGAGCAGTCTGTCTGGCTCAGAATAAACAGGCTCTAGACCCACAGGGTCAGCCTCTTCCGCTCCATTGGAATATCTACTAATGCGCATTTAGACGCAAGAGGTTGCTAGCATTCATGTGCCACCTTTTGACTGTGAGGTGCTGGATGGAGTTCAAAGTGCATTTTTTGTGAGGTACACAAGAACGAATGGTGAGTTACAAATTGCTTTTGCAAATGTATTTGGGCAAGTACCACAGTGGAATGGGCCAGGTAATTACAATTTAGGCACAACGTAGTGAATCCACTAAACTATGTTGTGACAAGTATTGTTGTGTCTTATACAAATCTAATGGCAATACGGCAGAACTAGACACAAAAGCAGGACATTTAAAGTAGTAACACAACCTCTACACCAATAGGGATATCCTATAGATTGTCAGTTAAAGAATGTTAAGACTGTCCTCAGTCATTTCAGCAAATACACTAAAACACATGTTTATGTTCAAGTGATAAGGCCCTCTGGTGACCCTATGACTCATGTCCATTGGGAGAAAAAAAGTAGGGTCACATTGTTATAGACCCACAAAGTCCACAGAGTGAGGAGGCAGGGGTGGATTGATCAGTCCACAAAATGTTGTTTTTTTCCCCCAATTGCCTACCAACAGTCAACGCTGGTTTCTTTTAACCATGACCACGATGTTTCTTAACCTTAACTATAGCGGTGTAACATGAGAAAATGTTTTTATTTTTAAAGCAGTGATTTGTAACAGTTCTGGAAGGACAAATGATGTCGTTCATGTTGTGGTGTCGGATCAGAAAATGCTTTCTACAGAGATTCTGTCATGTAGTGCACCAAAATAATTCATACATACAGGAGGGAGACAGGGAAGCAGAGGCCGCTTTTTCAATCGTGAAAGGGACTAATCGATGCTTATAAACCATGACCTACACCAACAAAGGAGGGAGTTAGCACCAAGCGAGTGAGCAAGTGAAAGAGCAGAAGGCTGGTGCCCAGAGGCAGAGGGCCTGCATCAGTCGTGACAAGCATCAATCATGCTCGGCTTTGATTGACTTTGCTGTTGAAACCGTCTTTGCAGGGACTCTGTCTGTCACCGCAGTAATGATGATTTAAAGGATTTAAAGGATTTTTCCCAAGGGAAGTTGTTTAGCAGGCGAGGCTGCCTTGGAAACCTGTGCTCGGTGCCTGTGTGTGTATGCGAGCATGTGCATGAGTATTCAATATTCATATTAATTTGCTGTTTGGCTGTGGTAAAGGTTCTCAGTGGATCAATCTGTTGAACTGAGATCTCTTTAGATTTGTTTACACTCTAAAAGCCTGTCAGATTTAATTGGACTGTTAAAACATGGATTAAACTATTTTCATGTTAAAGAAAACTGGTTACCTGTATAACATTGATCCAAATATCCATAATATGCTGCTGTGTAGTTCTACTCCACAGCGGCCCCGCTGGCACTGCCAATATACCGGCCTTTGGTCTGACAGTTTGCCAATGTTGGTGGCAGTTTCTCTTATCATGAGTCAGAGAGAAGTGGGAGATCTGACAATCAGTTTATAAAGATTTTAACTCCATTAAAAAAAAGATCTTTTTACAGCTTCCTATCAGTGCTGCAACTAATGATTATTTCATTTCTAAATTTATCAATGTTTTTTTTTATTCAATTTATGAAATTGTTCAGACAACAATCCAAAATCCTCATATCCTCAAGCCAGAACCTATGGAAGCCCATTTCTGCGAGGAAAAATAAATAAATCAAAAGTTAGGCTAGTCATGACAGAAATAAATTCTGAGATAGTAAGTAACAATTTTGACTTACGAGGAGCATTTTTTTTTTATCATGACTAACTTTTCTTTTCTTTTTCTTTCACTTTTGGGTATGGGCTTCCCTAAGGACCAGCAGAGTGGACCAGAATTGTAGCTGAAATGATTATCAACATTTCCTGCTTGACTAATGGACTAACCATTTCAGCACTGATTTCAATAAAAGACTGGAAGACTCACTATTGATTTTTGGCTGTTAAAGTTTGGGCTTGATGAGAATACCTTCAACTCAGCAGGGAATGCCGCAATGATTATTTTTTTGATTGACTTCCTTCATGATCTGTGTCTTTGGATTTTTGAGGGCTTTGATTCCCACCGGCATCCATGTCTTACTCTGTAAGGTTCCTGCTAAATCCATTGATCAGTATCACTCCCCTCCAGAGACTTCTCAGGTGGCCCGGTCTTTCACACAAGCTCAGGATCATACCTACCCCCGCCCCCCTACAAAGGAGCTCAAATCCCCCTGGGGTCACTCTCATTACAGCGAGGGGACTGTCTAATCTTGCTCCTATATAGGTTCTTTTTATTTAGCGGGAATGAGAGAGGAAGACCCTTATCTCCAATGATGAATTTACTCTGAGACGTAAAAGGGAAAATCAATGGAGCACAGTTGCATTGAGGAGGTTTGTGAGTGTGTGTGTTTGCAGGGAGAAAACACACTAAATGAAATGGAGATATTCAGCAATCATAGCACACAGTGCTCTGGGGTGAAGTGTGTGACTCCCTCGGGAGGGCAATGGGGTGAAGGGGAGATGTGTAATGGAACTCCAGTGACTTATTGGCTGGGCCCGGCAGTCGATGGGTTTGTGTATATTGAGTATCCAGGTCCACTTGATATTTGAATAGTGAGGGAGAGGGAAGGGAGAAAGGAGGGGGTCAGGAGGCCGATGCCATTTTACAACCTTAAACCAACGATAATCTAGTCTGTTCCACAAGGCTGATCAGAAAATACCACAAAGCTAGCACTTGAAAAACACTCTTAATGTTGGCTCCAATATTGTATTAAAAGAGAAATGGTTATTGGGAGAATATTCATTTGACTTTATATTTGCAATCAAAAACTTAAATCAATCTAAAAGGTGTTTTGCTGGTTAAGCATGCAAGGGTATTTTCCTTGCTATTTATTCATCATGCTTTGTTGGGTAGATATGTATGTAATGTAATCAACTACTCATTACATAATAAAAACTGCATACTACTTACTTTCATTACCCAGCACAGCTCCATCAAGGAGCCTATAAACAATACTGAGGCCTCCACATGTCGCATGTTTTGTATTTTACATGTTTAGAAATAGAAATTGAGAAAATTGAGACATATTATTTCAACAAGCAGCAACAGGATCTATCAACTGCTAGTTTAACATTAGGCCTGGTGAGTGTAGCACTCTAAAAGTATCTCAGCCCACAGTAAAGTTGAAGACTTCATGCACCCTCGAACTCTCAACAACACAGACTAATTACTAAATGTGGCTAAGAACACATAACATGTAAGAAACTTAGGAGTTACCAGGAGTGGCATTTCTCCTCCTCCACTGAACGCACAGAGAACAGTCTGATATCAGACCTGCATCTCCCATTAAGTCAGCAAACCCTCTACCCTCCAAATTACTGAAGTGATGATGATGTAATTACTGAATTGCAGTCCCTTACTCATTGCTAAAAAAGTAATCACAGCAGTACATTACTGGCCACCACTGTTGATTATAAACTGGTGGTAAAGGAATTATAGTCAATGTTCTTATAATGACAATGTATAAAATGACAATGTGAAAACAATATTATATGTGAGTGGTTCGCTCATAATGATGTATTTACAGAGTTATCACCTGAATCAGTTCCCCTTGGCTTTATGGAGCTTGATAGTGAGTTTCAACTCATTGTTTAGCTGTCTGCCCCACAACCTAACTGGTTTGGTTCACTCAAACTGCTCTCATAGTGCCAGGCAGCTGTTTTAAGTGAAAAAAAACCCTCTAAAAACCCACTATACACCTCAGTTATTGCATGTTTAAATGAACCACAGTTTCCTGATGTTATCATTTATTTCTACCTTTTTATACAGGTCTTCAGTCTGATCTTGAACCAGCCAACCTGGAGGTGAAGCTTGAGGAGAGTCCCAGGAGCTCAGTTATGCTGACGCCAGTATCTGAGGTTTCCCCTGTGGAGTTGGTCACCCTTTCCCCTCCTCAAATTTCACCCTCCTCACAGCTCTCAGAGACTGCCTCAGACACCAGCGTCCCAGATGTCGCCGAGGCTGCCGAGGCCGGGGTCCTGACCATTGAGTCAGGCAGCCATGCAGACACATCCAGCACAAATGGGGAGCCACGTACAGATGAGGACAAGGACCCCAAGAAGAGCAAGGCTCACCTCCACTGTCCTGTCTGTAAAGTCACAGTCAACTCCGTCTCCCAACTGGAAGCACATAACAGCGGTAAATTTGCTTTTTTAAAAAGGCTTTAGGTTTTGGGGATGTGAACATCAAATACATGCCTGTAATATTATTTAATTTGAATGACAACAAACCTGCCAACTCTCTACTCCACCAGGTACAAAGCACAAATTGATGCTGGAAGGTCACAGTGTTCTGCCTCGACGCAGGGGAAAAGTGGTGGCAGCTCGTGCAGGCTGCAAGAGCAAGCGGCTGGCCAGCAAAGGCAGTGTCGGGGTGCCCAGCAAGAACTTTCATTGTGAAGTGTGTGAGATTTTTGTGAACTCTGAGACCCAGCTTAGCCAGGTAAGGCTCAAAGGAAACATGATTATTTGGATCATATTGCAAATACTGTATGTATAGTTGAGCATTTAATGCACTTCTTACATTGTGGATTGGTCAAATTTGAGTTGGTACAAATTAATGGATGAAATTTATTCACATTATAGCTTCTGATAAAGAAATGGACAGAAAAGTGTGTGTGAAGCCGTGGCAACATACCGAACTTATAGATTTATAGACCATATTGAACTTTTAGCACCACAAGCGGCATCAGAACTTTCAAAGATCAGAGTAGGAGGACAAAACAGCAAGACTTATCACTCTGGGACTTCTCTATCCTTCCTGTGCTGTGTGAAATAAAAGATAGGAAGGGAAGTGTGGGCTTGGAGGTTCCTGCAGATTTGTCATTGCATACTAAGAGAGTGTTGCTAACCTAGGGTTTTGTTCAAAAGGGCATAGAAATGCTGTTGATTCTGAAAGCACTCTAACCCAGTCCCATCAGGCAGTGGAGAAAATGTTGCATATAATTACCTCACCTCCACAGACAGATGACGTGGCGACAGAATTAATCAGAAAACAGAACTGCCTGCACATTGTAAGCAATTACCTTACACATCAAGAGACTGATATTACAAACTGAACTTAGACCAGACTGACCTCTAATGTGACAATTATAAAAGCTATCATAAATGATGTGTATTAAAATGATAAATATGAATGATGGGATTTTAAAGACCTAACTGAATCCAAGAGACCATTTTAGCCTCACCTTGATGGAGGATGGCTTAAATCAAAGCAGCAGTTTCATTTATAGCCACATGAATGAAGACATTCAAAGCAGATTGTGAGTGCTGAGTACATTCAAGCGGCAGCTATTTTTCCACATTAGACAGATATCATCTGATGCTATAACTAACTGCAAAGCTCCTCAGTGAGCAGGGATTTATTTACAACTCATTATTGCAAGCTACTAATGCCTCCTGTATTTAATTGTCTGGTTACATTGGCATCAAACCACATTGGGGAGGTAATTTCTTCCCTTTATATGTTCATTAAATACTACATCTGAGTGAAGGGATTGGTTCGGAAACTTTGCCTATGCTGAAGTGTAATGTAGGAAAGATACAGGATACGCTGGCATGTGTGAGCACCCAGGCTGCTTTAGACTTAAATGCATTCCACCAGTCTTATATAAACATGCCCTATCCCAGGAGTACATAAGCCTGCTAGTACTGCAGCTAGAGAAGGAGATAGTGTGGCAGCGGCAGAAAGTAGTGTGATGTAATTTCTGTGCACTTGAGTCGTACTCAATGTATCCATTATTAATTCAGCAGATAACATTTGAAGTTGTTCCACTGCGGTACAACAGATGCTTGTTAGCTCGCTAATGGTATTTCTGCTGGTCTCTGCAGCACATGAATAGCAGAAGGCACAAGGACAGGCTGGCCGGAAAACCACCCAAACCCAAATTTACCCCCCACAGCAAGAGCCAGCCAAGCTCCAGCTTAGCGGTAAGTCTCGGCATAAAGACACAGACAAACAAAACACTGTCACGCAAATATGCACACACACTCAAGGAAGACAAAAAAAACCTAATTGCCTTTCTCATACAGAAGATATGCTTGAACATGCTGTACACATGTGGAAAAAGTGGAATAAATTCAGTCCAGCTTGTAAACTAACTACTACTATATATATATATAATACCGGTTTCTCCGTTGCAGTTAACCGTGTTGACCCCAGCCCTGACAGACATACAGTTCAAACACACACACACACACACACACACACACACACACACACACACACACACACAGATCTCATTACATTGTGCTTAGGGACTTCTATGTCACGGTGAGGCCGCATGCTTGTGTGCCTGTACTGTCATTGAGGTTAAGTACTCTCACTCTCACTGTTATACTCAGTGAGTCCCCTACCCCTGAGAGAGGTCTGAGATGGTCCTGCTCTCCCCCACTGACCAGGTCTGACAACAGCAGCCTGAATCAGCACTCCAGATTAATCACTTTTCTGCTCCTGTCATATACATACCTCCCCACTTTTCCTTCTCTCCATACTCCTCCTCTTCCCCCTCCATCCTACAGAACGTGAGATGGAGTGGCTATGCAGGCGTGGCTGTGTCTGCCATGAAGAAAGCGTTCAGCCAGTACAATCTCACCTCCCTCTCCTCGCAGGTCAGTGGCAGGAGAGGCCGAGACTGGGGTTGGATTGGGGGGGCGAGAGCTGCAGATGGCTGAACTTTAGGCCTGGTCAGGGGCAGGGGACAGAGCAGAGATAATGAAAAGGGATATATCTGTCTGAGTGTTTTTTTTTTTTCTTTTTTCCATGGGGTGCTTCTCATTTTTTTTCATTGTGTCATTGTGAAGTGGGAGGAGCTGTTTTGGTTGCCCCTGGTTTTTCTGGAAAGAAATTTCCCATAGACAATGTTATATGACTCACATTTGGAGCACTTCTAAGGCTTTGATGGGCATGTAACTCTCCCATGAATTATCAAATTCTTAAATAACAAGTCAAAGGTGCAATGCTGTGGACATAAACACTTCAGGGGAGAAGTTAACAACAACTCCCAAGGTACTTTAAACAAGAAACATCAAATCACAGTGCTTAAAATTCTGTTACCTGTGCCAATAACTGGAGGAGAAAACTGAATATATAATCTTAAACTTAAACATTTAGCGACATTGATGATAGCGTCTAAAAAAAGTTCAAAGGGGAATACTGAATGGGGGGAAACATTTCCCTCCTACTTCGCAACTTTATGGATGGATGGACATCCTAGTCTGTTGATCCTTTGCAAAGCTGATGGAGATCTCTGGAAACTGTGCCAAAATATTTTCAACACAGTACTCAACACTTTTAATCATCTACTGTAATATGCAACACCTTGAGTAAACTGCTGATCTTCGATGCTCCTCTCAGACCTCTTTGTATCATGAAACTATTTTGGTCATTAGTTGTTCTATGACAGATAGGTCTGCATCTTTTGTGTCACGAATACTTTCCCCTTGTAGGCTTGTTTATAAGTAATTTTATAGTTTGTTCAGTCGCAGAGGACATCAGCTGTCAGTTTGGATTAAGACATTCATAAAAATGTTTGCAGCAGTCTCCTTTCATCTGTATATTTGGTATATTCCCAACAATTGTTACTTAGCCAATAAATTGCTAAATATGGAAGCAACAGTGTGTGTGATATGTAAGTGTTGTATTTAGCAATTCTGTTGGGGGGGGGGAACAAAACATTTCAACACATCACTATTACATTTACACCACAGCTGCTGTTCTCTGTGAATGAGCAAACTTAAAGCCTTTCTAAACCCAACTGTCAAGCCTGTAGTAGTGGGTATTTGATTAGAAGGCCTAACAGCAGCATTATGGTTTGAAATGTTTGTGTCAAAAGTTTTTGTCAGCTTGTTGTCAGCAAATCTTATCTAAGCTTATATCCATGCATCATGGCCAGTGAGAAAAGCATTTCACCGTAGGTTTAAACCATCCTTTTAACAGCCCAGTGCTTTAAAGTAAATGGCTTCCATTTAACCCTCATCCTGACTGAAATACTCTAATGTGTGCCTATACTGTAGTTCTAGCGTTAGTGAGTGTTCATGCAGTAAGCTATCAGGAACCCAGTTGTGGGAGGTATTTAGTATGAAGCAATATATAAAAAATGAATTCCTCTAGTGGAAAGAAGGGCATGTGTTTGCCCAGAAACATGCTCTACCTTCAATGTGTTCTTCTCTCACTTTTCACCCCTCCTGTCTTCTCTAGACCAAACTGGCCTTGCAGAAGCAGCTGACCAAGAGCTTGACAACTGGCTTCCTGCCCAGCCCCCTCACCCAGCCAACTCTGTGCACAGTGGCAACTAACCCACTGGCTCTGCGCCACCCAGTGGGCACCACCACCTTCATCCAGACCCCCTTCCTGGGCCCTGCACTGTTTCGGCCTGCCCCAGGGCCGCTGCGGGCCACACACACACCCATCATCTTCTCCCCCTACTAAAGACTTGACCCACTTCCCATTTCAGCTCCACGTTTGTCCCTTTACCAAATCCCAGGCCCTCCTTTAGTGTGACCCACATGACAAGGGCCACACGCAAACTATGCAGCCCACCTGACTTACGATGGAAAGAGTGCACATGCCCTGACGCTCAGTAGGCCATTAGGCCTGAGAGCTGTTCCTATCATTAAGGCCAAGACCAAGATCCCCCATCATGCCTTCTTTCTGCTCCTCTTATCATGACCTAAGGAGCAGGATAGGCCTCCAGACAGTGACTGGTGCACAGAGGCCACTTTTATAGCCATTTCATGGGTCAATATGGTTTGGATAATGGATATTATTGTGTAATTTATTAGAGAACATATATAGACATGTCTAGATGTATGCTTAGTGTGGTTGCCACAAAATAAGGTCCCTTTACTTGATGCTGTTTTAAAACATTTTTAACTTATTGGTTTTGGGGTTTTATGAAAGGGCGGAAGATCACAGGTCATTAAAGCAGCTGAACCCAAGGCATCCTCTTGTATGGCTGGACAAGTCACTGTCATTGATCAGTGTTTTCAACTAACAAGCTTAAAGGATAATCTGAGGTCAATTACTGTCGCATATCATCTTGCATATGGCAATTATCAAACAACTCTCTGGACAAGTAACCTTGTCAACAAGGACCAATGTGAGTTCTCATTATGGACGGTACTGCACGTGAAGCTACATAACTACATACTGTATGGCCACATATTAAAACCCAGTTAGCGCAATTTTGCACCTCCATCCCTCTCCCAATTTCCCCGAGCCCTTAGCTCATACAATTAAAACATTTCTGTCTTTCTGAGTCACAGCCATAGTCAGAGCCTTCCCATTTTTTCCCTTTCCTGTATCCCCAGGATTAAGCACTCATTAAGGTCCAGAAAAGGTCAGCTTGTCAACTTGAGTTTGTTTCAATTTGCAAATCTGTCTTCGGAATGACTTTTTAATATATTTTTTTTGGTCCAGTGCATCATTCACGCAATGCAGCTTGAACATTATGTTCTCGGCAAGCTAGCGGCACAAAAACATTTTTCGCACCCATGGATGTCTTACATTGCAAAATGCCATTATTTCTTTCCTCTCATGACTGCTCTTTTTCTTTTCCTTCCTAATTCACCCTGCTGTCATCACCTCACTGTAGTTTTTGATTTTCTGTGGCATTATCTCAGCGTGAGATGATGATGATAATGATGATGATGATGATGATGATGATGATGACGACGAGGAATAGGGAAAGCCTCCCACAACACACAATCACATACATAATGAAAACACAATGGATAACTTGAAGACTTTATGGGATTTCAGAGCTCAACGGAAACTTGACAGTGGGTGGGGAGGCTGCTCAGCCAGTACTTGATTGACATCCTATTGCAGTGTTTGCGCACAGCGTGGGAGGGAACAAAGCACAGTGCCATGGCAACCACATTAAAAGCACCTTAAAACTGATTTACTTACGAAAGCAATGAAAGTTGTGTTTATAGTCACCTTTCTTTGCTCTAGGTGTATCTTTTTACAATCCCATGTCAATTTCAGTGAATTTTGCTTCGAAGAAACAAAAAAACCAATCAGGTGAGAATGATCACGTTATGGTATATCCGTAGCTAAGACAAGTCTCACATTTAAAGCAATACATTCAGTATGTTTATGTTTATGATGTGTTTTCAGTGTGTCAATGGCTTTATCTATTCTATACTGTACACACCTGTAATAATGTATTATGTACTCCGACACAGCCAAGGGCCAATTCTGAATATCAGCGAAGAGTCATTTGAATTGAGGGGTTGTCCTGATGGTGCTGCCCTTGATGCTTGATGCTCATGGTCAGTCTCCACATGCTGGTGACTCTGGGCTGAGCCGTTTCCATTTATAGCTGCTCCCACACTGCGGAAAGGGTGCTTCAGCGCCATATGACATTGCTGTTTCACTTTTTAGTGGAGCAGGAGAACTTTTGTATGACTTCCACTGAGCAAAACATTGTTACATCAGAGACAAGTGTTTGGGATAAGTGTCACAAGTGCAACATCAGCCGTCATATTGCTGTTCCTGCCCGTGTGCTGTACCCAACAACCCCCAACCACCCAGGATATATACTGACATTCAGCCCCTCCTCTGCCAAAATGGACTGTTGGCAAGGTCTTGAACTTGGAGCGTACACATCATCCTTCCCGCAACACTCATACCAAATCATGTTCTCTTAAATTACAGTAAATCCTATGCATTTCTCATTGTGCAATATGTATAGTTGTCTGTGATGCAGCAGTGCCATCTGTCGTGAAAACCCTGTAATTGCCATCCAGTACTAGTGCTACTACAAAACCTTTGATCCTATGTACATTTCTGTTTAAGGACCCCCAAGTCTTTTTGGGTAAGCGAAGCCACCAGGTCTCCCCGCCATACTGATGTGATTCTCCCCAGTCGCACTACTCAGTGAACCAGCCAGCCTTTAATCTTCACTGTTTGTTTGTTTCTATCGCTCAGTGGGAACTCTGACCTAAAGAACTGAAACTTTCTTAAAATAAAATCTAGATGACGCAAATTATATGTAGAAATCATAGAGTAACTATAGAGATTTTATCAGAGTTGCTATTGTTATCTGTATCATAATGAAGTGCTATCATAGAAGAGAGTAGATGATGTTATTGTAGGCTCTGTACAGCATACAGGGGAAGGAAAATGCTTTGCTTTCTTTTTTCGTTTGTTTATTTACGTGGTTATGTTGTTAAAAACATGTTTTTTAAAGTACAAGAGAAAATATTTAAAACAAAACGTTTTTTGAGTGAGCTTTTCTTTCTCTTCTTGTTGACAGTGACTGAATTAATAATGTAATTCAAGGCCTTTTTAGACAATATCCTGAAGTCACATTAGGCAGGCCTTCTCAGGGGTGACGGGTTGAGCAAATGCTAACATGACCATCCATTCAGGGTATCCCTCCATAGCTCTAAAGAGCAGGAAACACTGTACACATGGATGGATTGACAAAACAAAACAAAACAAAAAAAGCAACTTACAGTGCTGTACCATAGAGAGGACAAGGGATGGATTTTGGAAAATAAAGCTTTTACTTGTAAAAACTGTGTGTGGGTGTGCTTTCTCTGCATCACGGGTACAAATGAAAAACAACAACATCCCAGAGGCCAGTACTTAGATTCAGATTGATATGTGAGCAATAACAATATGTGTGTGGGTGTGTGGCGGGAAAAAAAGGCAGATGATGGCTAATGAATAAACAGTGACAACACGAATGCTTAGATTTACGAAGATCCTCAAAATTGCACTTGCACTCTTTCTTTGACTGAATTATGTTTGGTACAGTTGAATCACATGGAGAAAAATGAAAACGTCAAGATTTGAAAATATTAGTTAGTAATCAGACAGTCAAAACTGAGCATATCTAGCACGGGAAATATCCAGATGAAATCAAAACTATTTTATCTGTGAGTTTGCAGGTGCAGATGGTGCTGGCTTCTCTGAAAATGTGTGCAACACCCTCAGCATCTGTTCATGTGGCGACCCACAGCTTCTCAATTTCCAGCCATTTCGGGAAACAACTTGTGACAGCAGGACTGGTGTTTAGCCAGGATACAATGGTGAAAGCAAATGGAAACAAGTTGAAGCCACTGTGCCTGAGCTCTGTTGCATCTGTGGCACACAGAGGAGTGATAAAATAATATACCTGAGTGGCTGATGTGGTTTAGAGACGAGCTAATCTCCTTTATCTACAGATGATTCTCCACAGATGGCCATTCAAGAGTGCATTGGACTGCAGATTGGGTGTAACTACTGAAGAAAGATTTGGTACTAAACAATGAGTCCTCCTGAATTGTGGAACAGCAGCTCACCGCTGTACTCAACATCTACTGTGTGTTTGCCAACATGACGGTCTCTGCTGTGCCCATTATCCCTAAAGCCAACTTCAATACCAAGCAGAAGAACATCTTCGTATGAGATCAACTGAGACTCAGTGCTTTTATCTATCTCACCGGATAATCATGTATTTAGCTCAGTTAGCTCTGTATTAATTTTCCAGTTTCCTAGTATATTTGAAGGAGAGCCCTTGGATTATTTATTGATGTTGTACTCTACGCCTGAGGCCATCACACCAGCCTGCCCTTTGTGGAAACAGTAGATAAGCAAGTCTAGCACCTCCTGTGGTGCCAATCAAAGGAAAGCCATTGGATCCCCAGCACTTGATATGGCAGAAGGACATGATGACCTTGCTAAGCGGTGACAGGGGTGTATCCACTGTATTGATCCATCATCTTATCGGACTGCTCTCCATGGAGGGAGTGACACCCTTCTCTCCTGTTGTGGTGTCACCCCATAAACACATAGCTTCGCTGTCTGTCTGTGTATGTGGGCTTCTTTTAAATTTAAAGCAAATGTGTTGTTGTAAAAGATTTATAAGACGGAGAAGATGTTGTGGCACATTTAACTTCATGTTCAACGCTGATCAAATATAACAGTAGCATTTTTTTTTACGGTAAAGTATAGTAAAAGTAATTAGCAGAAACATCAAAGTAAAGTGTGTTTAGTATCATGAATTTTTGTCCTAACTTTAATGAGCATGTATTCAGCATTCAGTAATTATCAGGTCTTAACTTCTCAAGTTAATAATTTGTACATACGTGTTTAACCTCAAAAGATAGAGAAATAGACCTTAATGTAATTAAAAGTAAAGTATAGTAATTATTGGTTTAAATGAAAACAATAGTAAGAAAACCAGTCTGGTGTTTTGAGTCTGGTGTGTGCCACTGAAAAAAATATTACATTGAATACATGGTAATGTTTTAATTAGCATGTACAAACATATAGTGCCTAATCATACATAGTGACAGTGTATGTTTATGTTAGCTGATATTACAGAAGTAATCCATACCCACAGCACAATTATGTCTGTTATTTCTTGGTGCCCACCACAGATAATTGTGCTTTTATAAAAGCAGTTGTTAAAATACTTATTGTATGAATTGAGAAGATAATTACAGTTGCACATAACATACACCTTGCCATTGCTATGCTGTAAAACACAGATGCTGCAAATTTGCACCTGAGGGTAAAAACGCCAAAGAAAGATGAGAGAATGAGACTGAGGGTTGAGTTGGTTGAGCAGTCGTATAAATCAATTTGTTTTTCAGCTTTCACGCTGTCTTTATTTGGTCTGTTATTGAGCTGAAATTGTCTTTTTTATTGACTGGGGGGAGACAATGTGTCAACATGTCCCTCTGGATAATGTCAAAGGTGTCAAACTCTTTCAACATGCTCGCTGAATGCTCAAATTATAGGCAATGACTAAGATTCAATTTTTGCATGGTTAAGAATGCCTTAAACTTGACTTTTCCCAGATTAGATGACCCTGTGCTTTCAGGACAAATTATATGTCTGAGAGGCCCGTGGGCAGCCAGCATGACAACTAACATTTGACATAACTGATGGCTTAAGGGCAGCTGATATTTCCAGCCCACAGAAAAAAGGCCTGATAGCACAGAGAAAAAAAGTGGCACTGCCATCTAGACTGTATGTGTTGTGTATGTGCACTCCTGTGTAGAACTGTTTTGTTAATCTGACGCTTCATAACGGGGACTGTGAAAAGATGGTCACTGCAGCAGCTTCCAGGGTTGAAGTCTATTTTCTCTTTACAAAAAAAAACAAGGGGATTAAATGTTATCTATTTTATGGGTCCCCCAGGAGAGCTGGATGCTCAGCTGCAGTCATGAGACACACTGTCATGCAACAGTAAAAGAGTATTACTGATAGCAACACAAGGGCATCGCCTTGTTGCCCTGTGACTAGCAAGTGTGAATTTCTCTTTTGTGGTCAGTGTAATCTAAAGGAGGAAGAAGGTCCATAAATCACACAGACAAGTGACAAATCGATCCCTCGCTCTGGCACGCTCACAGTGTGTATTTCACATTTTGTTTTGTGAATCTTCATTTCGGTTTCTATGTGCGTCAATAAACATGGAGCCATTCCACAGAAAGACAGGAAAATGTGTTGACAACTTACAGGAGTCTCTTCCATGCTGTTATGGGGACATAAAATTAACACCACTGTGTACTATTCATAGTCCAAATGTGTGATACAATAAATGAACCAGTGCACTGGCTCAAGTCTAGTCATTAAAAAGAACATGATTGAAATGAGATGTTAGGTGATAGCACCCTCTGGGGAAACTAAGGTGAGTGTAATATCATTTCATAAATGTTCCACTTGAGGTTTTCTCATTATCTTGCATTAACCTCTCCAGTCAACATGACCGTGTGGAACTAGCAGATCATTTCTTCAGCCTGGACATCTATGACCTTGTCTGACTGGCATTGCTTTCACTCCCAAACTGTTCATACAGGAAAGACATTGCAACAATTACTACATTTTACTTTTTTTGATAGATATTGAACACCAAATCAGTTGTAGTGCTCAGATCATCATGGATACTTGAACACAAAATTGGTTCACTTTTATAGGACTGCATTGAAGTTGTTTTTGGTGTCAGTTAAGGGTTAAAAAAAGTCAGTCATCAATATAATTTCTCCTGAATATGAATATGTCATGTTTGTGTGCTCTACATTTGAATTTTGTTGGCATCAAAGTCATCAAGTACAAGGCAGTTTATTGCATGACAGCTGACAATTCTGTCTGCTTCCTGGTCTCATGTGCCTTCTTTATTTTTGAATGTTGTATAAACCAATTAGTATAATATGAATGCCTGCATAATGTCATACATTACAATACACAGCTTTGTATTAAATACTACCAACATCCCATTGTTTTTTACTGGAAGATCTGAGACATCTACTGGTCATGGAACATACTACAACGTAAATGAACTGTAGCAAGTGAATGGGGTTGGGTTTATTTTAACTTTTAGACTTTAACTGGATATGAGTTTTTCAGTCATTGAACTAGCACCATTTTTACACATCACAGAGACCATTCACTAATTCCCTCCTAGTCAGGTCACAACACTCAGTGCTTTTGTGAAATAAATAAATAAAAGTTGTGCAGTATTTAATTACTTAATCAATTTGAGCCCAAAAAAATCACCAAAGATTCTGGTTAGGCAGAAAGAAATCATTTAATTTTTTTACAAAACATGATAACAAATATCATGTGAGCAAATTTCATGGATATTAATACTTGAAAACAAAAACATAAAAGTTGCTTGTAGGATATGTAGCGTTGATACTCTGGCACAAACACACGAATAGTCAAGACAATATCAACAAATTTCCCCGTTTCAATTAAAAAAACATTAAAAGCTGCTCATATAGCTGCTCATTTGTTGACTTATGCTGCACCCTTAATAACCAGTTCAAATGTCAGCTAATGAATACTTTTGGGTTTTATTTTACAGCTTGGTAAAATATACACCAGCTTCAAATTCAGCAGTGACTAACTGATACTATGACAAGTCCTGTTGCTGTGACATGTAACTAAATAGAGTGGTCTACGTCTTTCATGTGTCGCAACCAGAAAAAAAGTAGCACCTGGGCCCGCAGAAGCTGCCTTTCATCTGATCGTCTTTTATCTCATATTTAAATCTCTAAAGTCTGTACAGAAGGCAATATGTGGTAAGGAATGTGAATCATGCACTCTTCAACATCCAATAGTGAATCTCAGCAAAGAACATAATGTAACAAATCTCCGGATCCACAAACAGTTACTGTACATAATCAATAATTTGTCAATAAAATCCCTTCATCCATCATACAGTTTATAACATGGGAAATTCAGCATTTATGTGATGCAATAATTAGGTAACATGTGTAAATAAAATAGTTGCCAGTGTATGGTAAGTCCTAATTTATCTACACAGTGAGCGCCATGAGTGTGATATCTTGAAACTATTAAGTATAAACTGAGATCATAATATTGATCATCAGTAGTTCAAAAACAAGTTATGTAGGTCCAAACATGACTGCTGATGTCAACAGTAACTGTAAAGAATGTGGATGAATAGTTTGACTATATTCCAACCTAATAAAATGGGAATGATAAACAAAAATTCTTGCATTCTTCAATTTCTTAGCTGATGTGTTATAATAAAAGTATTTCACCAAAACATCAAATTGGGATGCTATACCAATAAAAACGGCACTAACTGTACATAAATATCCATACACTCATCCTGCCTTTTCTCTCGTCACTGCTTCTCCACCTTCTCCAAACCAACTCTTACTACCTCAATCCTTCATAATATCTTTTTTATAGTGAAACTAAGTTCTGTTATGACAACATGTTTCTGGTCATTCAGCTGTCTGTAGAACCGCTGCCCTTATTCTTATTGCGACTGAGAGGGAAAGTGGACTTGCTCTGTGGCTGGGTCATTTTGCTGGCCAGGTAGACAAAGGGTTCAATCAGTGTGCGCCGGTCCACCACCGACACCTCCCACAGACGTACCTTCTCATTCTTCGCCCAGTTCTGGGCCATGTTAGAGTCAACTCTCTTCTCATCCTGCTTGTCCAGCTTGTTACCCAGCACAACAATGGTCACCTGTGGATCAGGATCATCAGGTTAGCCCCACAACGGTGTAATCTCTAGCTCTGTCCACATCAGTGCGCTACAAATACAATATTAGCGATCTCTATAAATGGATATCTGCATATGAATGCAGAATCTGTAGGCAAGGGACAAGATTTTGGTATTAGAAGCATTCTGGTTTCCATTTGTAGTCCCAGTAGTATTAACCAATCAGATTTAGGCAGGCTTTGGTTGCATACAAGGAACCATTCCTTGTGGAGAGCAAAAGAGGCGTAACGCTGAAATGCAATCTTGGAACTCATCGGCTATTGTCTGATGACTATTTAGCTTTTTGTCAATCTTGGAACCCTAGAGATTAGCTTTAGCCCCGAAACATGGGCCGTTACCCCCAGGGGCAAGATGATAGCCGATGGGTTCCGAGATTGCAATATTAGCAATGGCAGATTGTCTGTTGGGACCAGAATCAGGAAGAAAAAAACATTCAAATTTAATATAATAACTTATAGATCTAATTCTGATACACAGACCATTGGAATTAGAGAAAACTGTTTTGGGATCTCTAGATTGGTCCCCACTAAATTAACCCAGAATTATTAAGGTACCCCCAAATGAACCTTCCCAAGCATAAAAATGGGATCAGTCCTCACCTCTTTCTTGTCTCTGTGACGGTCAATGTCCTTCTTGAGGGCCTCCATCCGCTTAAAGGACTCTTTACTGTCAATGCTGTAAACTAGTACAAAGCCATCGGCAAAAGTATAGTAATGTCGAGGAAACTCCATCCCATCCCGGAGTCCGCGGGTGTCATAGAAGCGCACCTGCTCTCGTGTGCCGCGGTCAGTCTCTATGGAGCCGATGTAGATATCCTCCAGGGTCTCCATGGGCTCTGAACCTAACAGTGGACAGGCACATATGGTGTGATACACGACACAAGTATTTAGACAATTGCTTGTAATTAATACATTGTAAATGAGCACCTTTATATTACCTTACTTGAAACAAATAGCAATACACTTTGCAGAAAAAGCATATGCAATAAATTGTGTTCAACATTACACATGAGAGTCTTAGGCAGGAGTTACAAATTGCAGTGATCTTTAACATTTAATTCCAGGTAAACTTTAGAAACTGGAATGTAGTTAGATGTATACTATTAATCTTCAAAACACCAAGTGCCTTATCACAATAAGTCATTGAGTGTGTTATACATGCAATCACCTGTTCTGACTGCTGCTATAAGTGCATACCATTTTGTTGTTGCAGGAGCCAAACAGGAAATAATTTACTTTACAAATTAATGTCATTGACTTAAATTTAGGGTTTTAGAATTTCTAAAACGTGATGATATTCAGATGCAAAAAATATGCTGTATGAATAGAAAGCTCGTTTAATGCTTGTGATTGATGCTCTCTGGTTTTTGCCTTCATGAGCAAGTTGACTACGTACTGTAATTTACCTATAAGTTACTGTAATTAAAATATACATATTTTTCTTGTTCAATTGCTATTCCTACCTAGAGTATCAAACACTTAAAATATACAATGTCCGTAACCAACCTGTAACACACTCTTTACAATCAACAAACTATATTTGTACTAATAAATAGAAAAGAGTATTATTATACAGAAAAAGGAATACCTGCAACATGATTGGCATACAGTAGTTGTTCCAACACAGCCGTTTTACCAACTGCAGCCTGGCCACACACAACCACTTTACAGCTTTTGCCCATGACTCACTCAGGTCAGAAAATCTGTTTTCAGAGGAAAAGATGAAAAACTATAGAGTCAAATACTTTATTAACCCTTACAGTGTCAATGCATATAGCACAGAATTGTGCTATCTTACACGTGCGTTTGGAGTAACGTTAGCAACGTCCCCAAAGTGTTATTCTGTTATAAACACAAAAAAATGTACGTTAGTCATGCTGACAGTAACGATATGCAAACGACCCTAACGTTAACTACAGTCTGTGAAATGAAGAAATAGCTTAGCATTAATGTTAGCTTTCGGTGAGATAACGTAACAGAGTCACGATGCCAAGTAGCTAATGTTATCTGAAACTGACTAACCCAACTATAAACCGTGTATTCAAAAATATATACGCTGATATTCGCTACCCATGAGAAGATATCTATTACGAATATTTTTTCTTGCAAGTAAGCCTCTTTTCTTACCTAACGGACAACTTCCTGTTTACAGTGTACGTAAGCGCTGCAGTATGTGGCCCCGCCCCTCCCCATTAACGGCAAAATGGCGACTGAGAGCTGTGATGCTGTGAACACGGACTCTGACATGGAACTGCTCAGTGACGAGGAATTAGAAAGGTAAGACAAATTAATGCTGTGTTGTCAGCTACTGAAATGCATCTACAACGAAGCCTTATACTGATACATGTACTCAAAAGTCCCTGCTATGTAAATTTTCTCGTCGCAATGACAGCTAAGTAGCTCGCTACCGCTAACTGTTTAGCTAAAATGTGCCCCGGATCGCGTTTGGCTTGGTTGTCTTCCACTTTGCTAACTCGTGTGTTGGATTTCTGAGTTGCTGTCAGGCACACTGTTATATCTATAAATCTGCCTTTGCTTGTCGAGTGTAAAAGCTGATCAGGCCGAGAGTAGTTCTTTGACATCATTGCGTTAGAATGATAATAGCTGGCCAACCAGTTAATGACACCACTCACTCACTGTGTGGTCGTGATGTAAAACATGAAAGGCTTCCCAAAAAAAGCCATGGCAGTGGCCCACAACATGGTGTCATATGTTCCTGGCTCAGCTCCCTGTCTGCTTCACAAAATAGCTACGTGTTTGATTGGAGTAGACACTTCTGCCCTGCTGGTTTGGCTCTCTATGTTTAGCTAACTGTGGCCAGTAAGCTCTCTCATGCACACTGCCATTCACAATCCTGGACATGCTCTCTTTACACACGATTATGAATGTGATGCTCAGTACATTCAGACTTAACGGTCTTCTAGAGAATAATGTTTGCAGACAAGTTCAGTGTCTAGACGTTCAGTAGAGTTGCAACAATTAGTCGATTAATCCGTTAATTTTCTACTATACAATTAATCTTTATGGCTGTAAACGGAATGTCTTTGGGTTTTGGACAAAACAAGACATTTGAGGACATCATCTTTGGCTTTGGGAAACACTGATGGACACTTTCCACCATTTTATGACATTTTATGGACCGGGCAACTAATTGATTAATGGAGAAACTGATTGTCAGATTAATCGATGATAAAAATAATCGTTAGTTGCGGCCCTATTGTTCAGTAATCTGTAAAACAAAACATTGCAATCCTCTGTCCATAACCAAACTCACCTTAGTCTTGTGTGCTTACTTTGCCTTTTAACCTTTTTTTCTGTCTTTCTCGCCCACTTTTACACAGGGAAGCAGAGGGCTTCAAGGAGCAAGGCAATGCCTTTTATATCAAGAAGGATTATGCAGAAGCATTCAATTATTATACCAAGGCCATAGGTAGGTAATCTAGTCTGACTACTAGTTGATCCGATGATGTTGCTTTTGAGTTTGGATAACAAATAAAAAGTTGAAGTCTGTCTGTTAATAGGATATCAATAACTTGTGTTTTATACAGACATGTGTCCGAAGAATGCAAGTTACTATGGAAACCGGGCAGCCACGCTAATGATGTTGGGTCGGTACAGAGAGGCTTTAGAGGATTCCCAGCAAGCAGTTCGACTAGATAACACCTTCATGAAGGCAGGTTGTGGGAAACAAATCATTACACTCTGTTACAAGGAAAATCTACTCGCAGTACTCTTGTATACCTAGATTGTTAAGTATTTTCTGTTCTGATTGTTTTTTTTTTGCTTTGCTGCATACGTTTACTATGCTGGCCTCCACTACTAATGCTTTGCTAAATTATTTTCCATGTTGATGTGGACAATGCCTAGAGAAGGGCATGACCGTGTTTAATTCAGCAGTACTGTGTGTTTAAAAACAAAACAAAAAAACATTTGCTTCATGATAGAGTAGCTTGGATAGTCCATAGAAATCAATTCAATTAATTTAATGCTAAAAATGTAAAAGCTCATTAAGTGATTCATTCTTACGGAAAGACACCAAACAATAAATAATTCTGTGTTTATGCACAACCTTGACATTTTGTATTGTATTGGTGTCTTCATACCCATTGAGTTTGGAAAAAAAATTACTAACCTGCTTTGTTGAGGAGATTTTGGACACAGCTATAGAAAACTTTTCAACAGCATCTACTTGGAACCTTGAACTGAGGGCAGTTTTTTACTACACTGCATAGCTGTGTAACTGTTCAACTTTTAGGCATGACCCGTTTTATACCGGTGTATACATTGCTGCAGGGTTACTAGCATTATGATTTGTGACGATCGGAAGAAATGCGTGTCAAACCTGATTTCAGCAAGGGTTGGAATTGTGGGACGTCATCCCTTCCGTTTGAACTGTAAGTCTTTTATCCACAGGGCCATCTGCGAGAGGGCAAGTGCCACCTGTCCCTCGGCAATGCTATGGCTGCCAGCCGCTGTTTCCAGAGGGTTCTGGAGCTGGAGACTGACAACTGCCAGGCCCAGCAGGAGGTGAGTTGACCTCAGTTTGACAGAGCATGATCTGACAACTTGGACATGATTATCTACTATCAGATAAGCTTTGGCCAAGCTTGTGCAAATAAAGTGACACGGTCTGATACTGAGCGGTTTAAGAGGAGATCAACTAGTGAATACTGTTAATTCTTAATGAGAAAGCCGGGAGGCAAGTTTTAGGTTATTCACACACAAGTACTGCTGCTTGCATTGACCTGGTTTTACAAGCACTGTGCATGGCACAGATTTGAGGCCAGTGGTAGCTGAAAACAAACTGACTACTACGGATCTTGCACGTTGTCACTGAATACCACAAATTCCTTTGACAGCTGAAGAATGCAGAATCCATCCTTGAATATGAGAGAATGGCAGAGATTGGATTTGAGAAGAGAGACTTCAGGATGGTAAGACAGTGGTTACAATCTTACTTAATTTTGTCAGTTATATGGTATGTCATGAGTAACAGACATGCCAAGCAACACAGAATGCAAGTATGGTGTTGTTTTCTCTAGGTTGTTTTTTGCATGGACCGTGCCTTGGAGTCTGCCCCAGCTTGTCACAGATTCAAGATACTGAAGGCAGAGTGCTTAGCCTTGCTGGGACGCTACCCTGAGGCTCAGTCTGTAGCCAGGTAAGACAGCACATTTGAAACGTACTCGGTAATTCACTCATTTATTTGACATTATTGGAATTTATCACCATGACATGTGTACATATGCCATACCATTCCCTACTAACTCAACACAGCTTTCATTATGACATTTTAGTAAAATCAGTCAGACAAAACAAATGAGTATTTCAGTATCCCAGAGCTCTATAGAAAAAGGAAAACCATGACTTGAAAGGAATACAAAATGTACAGATCTGAAAATTCAGACACTTCTATACAGCCACAATGCTTTGATGAAATCACCAGGTTTGCTCTGATTTCTTGAGCGGACTCATCTTTGGTGAATACAAGTATACCAGATTAGTCAACTCCATGGGGCTCAACACCTGATAGTTTTAAAAACTATATGCACAACTTTGTGCTTTAATGCTTCTAAAGAATTAAAGGCTTGGCACATATGTCTAAGAAGTGTAACCTTGATCTCAAATATGTAATTACAGCACTGTAAAAATGGCACATCTCTAAATTGATCACCTCACCTGGTTAAATTTCCTTGAAAATTAAGATTTTCTGGAACTGTGTGGAACTTGGTCTGTTTGCAGAGACATGGGGAAAGTCATTCTCACAATTTAAAGCTGTAAATAAATAACTTGGATTGGCTGGTGCTCTCTTTCCATTATGGATATCTGGTCTGTTACCACATTTTCTATCAGTTGCTACACCACTGCATCCTTGTAAATTGCCTCATCACTGCATTTTACATTTGTTTTTTTTATTTGCCATTAATATTAGTTATTTGTTTCTTTTTAGTGATATTCTGCGAATGGACTCCACTAATGCAGATGCGCTGTATGTGCGTGGTCTTTGTCTCTATTATGAGGACTGCATTGAAAAGGCTGTTCAGTTCTTTGTCCAGGCCCTACGAATGGCTCCAGACCATGACAAGGCTCGACTCGCATGCAGAGTGAGTAATGCAGTAGATAAGAGTTTAATAAATCCTTTTTTATGTATGAATTCCTATAAATACAACCCTTACATGCATGTCCAGTTGTGAACCTTTTCCTCTAAAGCAGCTGCTAACTAACTGAAAATTAACAAAATGCAACTTGGTGGTATTCTCCCAGCCATTTTAAGTCTAAATGACATTGCTGTTAATGTAGCCCAGCGTAGTTTATAAGGTTGTCCTGTGTATTGTCTTCCCAGAATGCCAAAGCACTAAAAGCCAAGAAGGAGGAGGGGAACAAGGCGTTCAAGGAGGGAAACTTTGAGGCAGCCTATGAGCTGTACTCTGAGGCGCTAACAATAGACCCCAACAACATCAAGACTAATGCCAAGCTGTACTGTAATAGGGCCACTGTTGGATCTAAGGTGAGGAACATGCACAGGAGAGATACCACTGGTTGCATCAACATCTGACAAGTTGTTTTATGGTGTTCCACTGTAGAATTAACTTTAGCTTTTGCTAAAAGCCACTGAGAGCTAATGTTGCTCCATGAGTATCCAAGCTGGAACGTGTACAGTCCTTGGAACATTTGACTGCAGATTAGTAAACTCTGTCAAAAAAATGACTTTTGTCTGTTAAATAAAGGCGAGGACAGGAACACAAACAAAACTACAAACTATGAGTTCTACATTACGCAGGATCTACATAGTCTTGATAACGGCAGATGAACCTTCAGTTTTTTGCAGGCATGCATAGATACAAACGCATTTAAGTCATCACCCATATCACAAACTCGTGAGTTCTTTCCTTCTTACAATATTATGTTTTTTGGTATCCTTGCTGTGTTGAACTTTCACCTTTCAAGAGAACTAGGCCACTACTTTTCTCTCTCTGTCTCCGCCTTGCATGGTCATACTTTCTTTTTTTTTTTTTCTTTGAAAGCTGAAGAAACTAGAACAGGCCATTGAAGACTGCACGAAGGCCATTAAACTGGATGAGACCTACATCAAGGCCTATTTACGGAGAGCACAGTGGTATGTCCAGGTTTTCTAACTTGGTCATTAATAGAGACAGTAAGTTGGTTTGTTTTTGGTTTTCAGACGTGGACAAACACTAGACTATCATTATCAGTATCTGCAACTATATTGTATTGTTCAAACTGGTTAAAGAAACAATAGCAGACTTGTGCATACTCTGCTGCAGCTATATGGACACAGAGCAGTATGAAGAGGCAGTGAGAGACTATGAGAAGGTTTACCAGACAGAGAAGACAAAAGGTAAGTCAGATTTTGTTGTGGCTGAGCTGACACAGCTTTCAGCATTGATATTTCACCTTATTTTTGCTTATACGGTGTTTTGTTTTTTTATTCTCTAGAACACAAGCACCTCTTGAAAAATGCCCAGCTGGAGTTGAAGAAAAGCAAGCGGAAAGATTACTATAAAGTGCTTGGAGTGGATAAAAACGCCACAGAAGATGAGATCAAGAAAGCTTACCGCAAACGAGCGCTTTTACATCACCCAGGTGCTTAACTGAACAGAAAATATCCCCTAACAATAAAACAATCATTGTCCAAGTCTACAAAATACTGTATACAGGTGTCCTTTGACCCAAATTACTTTTGTGCTGTTTTCCCTCTATTCCTTTAGACCGTCACAGCGGAGCGAGTCCTGAGGTGCAGAAGGAAGAGGAGAAGAAGTTTAAGGAGGTGGGCGAGGCTTTCAGCGTACTTTCAGATGCAAAGAAGAAGTCTCGCTATGACAGCGGTCAGGATCTGGAGGATGATGGCATGAACATGGGAGGTCAGCACCTTGGCAAGCCTTGGGGTGGGAGGTCCCAAGGGAGAACAGATTTAAGTAATAGTAAAAAATGGTTAAAGTCATGTCTAATGAAGCACCTTTTTATTACAAAACAGCTGTCGTTTCTATGGTGAGAACCAGACTGGAATGTTATCTTGGTTGTTGTTGATTCTTGTATTTTGTCCCCACCAGATTTTGATGCCAACAACATTTTCAAAGCATTCTTTGGAGGCCCAGGGGGGTTTAGTTTTGAAGGTAATTTGTGGTACTGTATGTATACAAAAAGCTGCAAGAAACAATGTTTTTGCTACTGTCGAACATTCGGAATGACATCAGTTATTGACTTGTTTGTTATTTGTTTCAGCATCTGGACCAGGAAATTTCTTCTTCCAGTTTGGTTAATTGGAGGATTCATCTACCTAAACAGTTACTACATCAGGACTTTTCAACAATGTCAACCCCCTGATCCACCATCCGTATTTAATGACCGACTGATTGCAAGTCAGATTCTTGTCTATGCCATTGACCGAATGCAACCCACATGCAGCAAATGATTTAAAGCCCATATAGCAAGAACATCAAGAAGGCTGAGTTGATAGTGTTACTGGTTTTGGATTTGGTTTTGGATTTGGTTTTTTTCCTTACAGGATGAAACAAACTTGAAAGTCAGTAATTGCTAGGAGAGATTGTGCAGGTATTGTATCAGAACTTTTAGAGATGACATCCTGGAGAAATTGTTGAGATGCAACTGAGTATTGAGCAAACTGTTATCCTGCTCTTCTCAACTTACTGCTGACCGGATATTCTTTGTGTGAAAGTTAATAACTTACTTAATGATTTCTGAAGAAAATCACTGAGCAAGCGACAACTCCTCCTTTTTGAAGAATCTGTCAGACAGACAGACAGGCTGCTACGATTCGCACTGAAAACTGACTCTGTCAGAAGCCAATATAAGCACGTGAGCATTTTTTAAATTCACAACAGCTGGAGCCTAGACCTGCGCATACAGTACAGCCGAAGCACACTAGAAAGATGCCAGTGGAGACAGTCGTGCTGGTTTTGTTGCCAGCGAAGTCCTCCTCCCTCTTGTTGTCACACGTTTTATGTTTGATGTTGCCATTCACAGATTGCTGCATTGTACATTTTACTGGAATGTAAAGTGTTGATTTGTGATGATAGTTGATTTTGTTCCTTTTTTATTTTGATAATGTATATTTATTGTAAATTTGCTGTCTAATAGAACCATTGGTGTAAGATGAGGACAATTTTCTGCTCTCTGCTGAAGTTTGAAAGAGGCACTGATTATGAGCATCCTATTTACACAAAATCAGGAAGATGTTTTGCTTGGTGTGCATTACATATTGCGCACAAATAGATTATGCTCTGTGTTCTTTGACTGTAATGCAAGTTTACAAATTTTACGCAGTGTAGCAGAAATGCAAAAGAATAGAACAAATCTGACCTGTGATAGGTCCTTGCTGTTGTTTGAGAAGGTCAGGCACTGTGTGATGATGGAAACCTGGTCATTTTCAGTTACTTCCTGATGAGTGTGTTGTCCTCTTGCTCTTCAGGAATAAAAGAAAAGTGTCCTCATCTTTGCTCTTGTTGTTTTTACCCTTGCGGTGAAACTATCCTCTCTTTACCCCTGAAAAGTACCAGCTATGTCAATAAAGTTGGCCACCTCTGGGTTTCCCCTTAAATTGTTTGGTTTTATTTTGTTTTACTGACATAATATTAGCATTAATACTCTAATATCTACAAGTCCATGGTTCTAATAAAAACAGAGATGGGGTTTTACTAAGCGGGGGCAGAAGATGGCGCTGTTTCCTGTTCTCGGTTTGTTAGCGTGGTTGCCAGGGGAGCAGCTGACTGCACTATTGGGCTTTTAGACACCTCCCTAAATTAAATTGTTTGTAAACGCTTTTAAGACCGACAATTTTGCTTAAAAATGTCAAACACAGATGGAGATTTCGAAGGTGCAAAGCCAAAGGGCGTATTCTCAACCTTAATGGCCGATGGGGATTGGCTGTACCTGAAAGGAGAGTATAAAAAGGCTATAGAGAGCTACACAACGGTAAGTAACGTTAAATTAGCTAGCGTAACAAACTGATCATGGTATGGTGATAACTACAGAATATTTTGGAATTGCATCATGTTGTGCAAAGTTATCAATCGAGGTTTTAAAAGCAAGGAGGAATGACTTCCTTCTTTCTTAAGGCACTGACTTTGAAGCCTGATGAGAAGACCTGCTTTATTGGCCGATCAAAATGTTACCTGAAGATGGGGCAACCTGAAAACGCTTTAAAGGATGCAGAGGCTTCACTCACACAAGACAAGTCATTTTTCGAGGTAAATTGCATGTAACAGAAATGTTGGTCCCTTGCTCTGTTAACACTTAAGAAATAAATTGATGACTATGGGCTTCAATACAGCACCTAATGTACAAATGGGAGAATTTATGAAGTGAAACCTATAAAATTAACTTTAACGTGATTTTGCAGGGATTGTACCAGAAAGCTGAGGCATTGTACTACATGGGAGATTTAGAATTAGCCCTGGTGTTTTACCACAGAGGACAAAAGCTACGTCCACAAATACAGGAGTTCAGACTGGGTATCCAGAAAGCACAGGAGGCCATAGAAAACTCTGTTGGCAGTAAGTAATTCGATACTATTTTGTGACTTACACTAAATAATGGCATATGATCTAAACCACGTGTTCATCTCTTGCATCTTCTAGGCCCTTCTGTAAAACTGGAGATTAAGGGAGACCTGTCATTTTTCCAAAAAGATGAAGAGGTCAGTTTTTTTCTGTGTTCCCCTCACTGAAATACTAGAGGTAAAGCTGTTTTATGAGTAACTGTACACATACAAACATCAATCCTGTCCAGGATCACTTTCCTAACTAGTGGATTACCAGTGCTTGTGCAGTTCTTTGCATGTAACGGTATAATCCTGTAAAATAATTATGTTTGCCTGACCGATAAAGAGGGCACAGCCAATTAATGCTACTCAGCATCTGATGAGGGAGAAAAAACAGCAGACCCAGAAGATCCCTAAGAGTGAGAAGATAACCAAACATCTGCTGGGAGAGTTTTACAGTGACAAGAAATATCTAGAACAACTGCTTAAAGATGAAGGTACTATGTTGTTTTACTTAGGCCATACAATACTTTAAAAAATGTCGCTCACTGTTTGTGTCCACGCTTTTGTTTCTCTGCATCTTTATCTTTTTTTGCTGGCAGATAGGGTAGGCTGTAACTTAAAATGTTTACTATTAGTTTCTCCTCCAGTTCTTACTGTTAAATCTGTTAAATCTCACTGTTGTTTTTTCACTTTTAATAAGCTAATAAACTTTTATGATCTGCAGACTTGGTAAAAGGGAAGACAAAGAGTGGGGAACAACTGCAAGATGTTATTCAGGGCTGCCTCACATACCTTGACACTTGCACCACGTTCTGGAACCAGGAGAAACCTATCTGTGCACCGGAAAGGGAGCGTAAAAACATACAGCACAAATGTAGCAAGCCCCGTCATAGCGCACCCTCTGAACCTGCTCAGTTTCTGCTGAAGAGCCTGGATGACATTGATGCAGGTAAGGCAGGCTTCTGGCTGAACATGTGGCCTACTGATTTTCTTTGTAGCCTTAAAAAACTGCTCACTGTATGTTTGTCATCTTAGAGTTGACATCTGGAAACGCAGAAGGTAGCCTGAAGAAGGCTGAACAAGTCATGAAGATAGTGCAGGAATGGTCAGAGAAAGAGGTGCCTGATAAGAGAGAGGTTTTGGGCAGCCTGCACAGTTGTATTGGGAATGCCTTGATCGAGCTGGGGGACATTGGCAAAGCATTAGACCATCATCAAAAAGACTTGGAGTTGGCTCAAGAGTGGTGAGAATTTGGAGAAATTACACAATAGGACTAAATGCATCAGACTAAATCTATCACACGTTCAGTAATCCTTTTTATCAACAGCAAACTTCCAGATGCAACGTCCAGGGCTTTGGACAACATTGGTCGGGTTTATGCCCAAATTGGACAGTTCACACAGGCCATTGAGTTGTAAGTAAAGAATAAAAAACCAATAAAAATTGGTCACACCTCTCTCAGCGAGCATTGTTTTACATTGAGGTATGACTGTTGAGGATTAGTTTATTGGTGATTGGTTATTTCATTTTCTTTTCTCTGTGTGTTTTCAATTCAGCTGGGAGAAGAAGATTCCCTTGGTCTGTGGTGGTTTGGAGAAGACCTGGCTGTTCCATGAGATTGGCTGGTGTTATCTGGAGCTTAATCGCCACGAAGAAGCCCGAGACTATGGCATCCGTTCAGTTGCAGCGGCTGATGATATTGCCGATGAGAAATGGCAGATAAACGCCAATGTTTTGGTGGCACAATCCGACTGTAATTATTTATTTATTTTTTCTTAATATTATTAGACATTTTCTAGTTTCTGTGACATGTCAGATTATTATTACTTTTTAAACTATTTAGTGCTACCATGCTTCTCTTCTGTTTTTATCCCAGTGAAACTTGGAAACTCTGAATCCTGCGTCTCTCACTTTGAGAGAGCCTTGACCCTTGCCAAACTGCAAGAAGACGACTCTGCCATGACTGCCATTCAGAAGGTTTCCTCTCTGTTGTTATATTCCTACCTTTGCCATCTTTTTAGTTCCATTAAAAGACATTTTGGATCGCTGACATCTATCATTCTGCTTTCAGGCCCTTGATGAAGCAAAGCAACACCTACCACAGTGAGGGCATCCTCCGTCAAGATTTGTGGTGCTTCAGAGGGCTAGTTGCAGAAAAAAAAAGACCTATAGAAGACAACAATCAGCAAATAAACGTAGATAGAACAAAAAGAGACTAATAAAAGGCATCTCCCTCAAAAGGGGCAGCTTTGAGTTTTTATGAATGCAAAGAGTGCTTAAAGCTGGGGTAGGCACCGTAGGAGAATTAGCAAGAAGTGTATGTGTTTTGATGACAGCCTTAGTTTTATAGACAGTAGTGAATAGTGCAAAGGTATCTACTATTCTTTGAAGAGTGAAAATATGGTTATGGGGAAGTGTTTATAAGATCAATATCTGGCCTACATCCTGCTGTATTTTCAGAATTATTTCTTAAGAATAAATGCTATTATTTTCAATATTGCTATTATTGTCAGTTACAGTCCAAATCTATTTGTGAGACCACATTTTTGGCAGATTTATATGAAAAGCGGAATATGTGTTAACTTGAAAATGTGTCACTGAATATAAAAAATACAGAGGAATTGTATCACACACTTTGACATACACACTACTACCTGCCAACAGAAGTCTTCTTATCTTTTAATAACTTAAGAGTTCCCTACTTGCTGCAGGGAACTTCCCCTTGTCACAAATCACCTTTACTGTCACAAGGAGTACATGGTGTGAGTTACACACAGACGACTGCTTCCTGCAGTGTTAATATAAGTGGAATGTTTATGTGTGAAAAAACAAGTGTACAATTCAAATTTATGGTCATTGTCTGCTTTTTGATAGTACCTCTCTTTGCCTGAGATGTTAATAATGAATGTGAAACAAAGCATAGTGAGGGAACTTTTTGCCTTCTTAAATCTTGAGAAAATGTCCCTGATATAT